TCTAGTTGTTTGCTCAGTTTTTGTGTTTGTTTTTTAGGTTCAGTTGTGATAGTTGTGTTTGTCGTCATTTTATTGTTCATATTTTCAGTCATATTCTTTTTCTTAGATAAATCCCTTTAACATTTCATATAATAAGAGCTTGGTGATGATGAACTCCTTTAACTTGACCTTATCTGGAAAGAACTTTATCTGTCCTTCCATTCTAAACGATAGCTCTGCTGGATAGAGTCATCTTGGATGTAGGTCCCTGCCATTCATGACTTGGAATATTTCTTTCCAGCCCCTTCTTGCCTGCAAGATTTCTTTTGAGAAATCAGCTGATAGTCTAATGGGAACTGCTTTCCTCTTGCTGCTTTCCTCCTTATCTTTAATCTTGCCTAATGTAATCATGATGTGCTTTGGTGTGTACTTCCTTGGGTCCAACTTCTTTAGGACTCTCTGAGCTTCCTGGACTTCCTGAAAGTCTATTTCCTTAGGCAGATTGGGGAAATTCTCCTTTATTATTTGTTCAAATTAAGTTTTCAATTTCTTGCTCTCCCTCTTCTCCTTTTGGCACCCCTATGATTTGGATGTTGGAACGTGTAAAGTTGTCCTGAAGGTTCCTAAGCCTCTCCTCATGTTTTTGAATTCTTGTTTCTTCATTCTGTTTTGGTTGAATGTTTACTTCTTTCTTCTGCTCGAAATTATTTGAGTCCCTATTAATTACCTTCACTGTTGGTGCCCTGTATATTTTGCTTTATTTCACTTTGCATAGCCTTCACTTTTTCCTCTATTTTGTGATCATACTCAACCATTTCTGTGAGCATCATGATTGCCAGTGTTTTGAACTGTGCATCTGATAGGTTGGCTATCTTGTCATTGCTTAGTTCTGTTTTTGGAGCTTTGATCTGCTTTTCCATTTGGGCCATATTTTTTGGTCTCACCTTGCCTGTTAGCTCTATCTTGGGGTGGAGCCTTAGGCATTCATCAGGGCAGGGCAACCCACATCACTGCATTGTGGCACTGTATGTGGGGGAGGGGTCTGAAAGGGAATAATGCCATGTGCTCAGCTCTCAGTCAGCTTTCAGTCACTTCCCCCACTTCCCACAAGCAAATTGGGCCCTTCTGGTGCTGATTCCTGGGTATGTGGGCTTGTGTACATTTTAGGACCCAGTGGGCCTCTCCAGCAAACTCTCCTGGGAAGCTGGGCGTTCGCTGCTTCAATCCCTACAGGTCTTTACAGCCAGAGGTTTTGAGGATTTATTTCCTCGTGCTGGACCCCTGGGTTGCACAGTCTGTCTTGCTCCCCAGTTGTTCCTCCTAGTTTATCCACACACGAATGTGGGACTGCCAGGTCTACCAGTCACCATCTCGCCCACCCAGTCTGCCAGCTGCTGTCTTGCTTCATGTTCTCTCCACCCCAGCTGCCCATTTTGTCCCTCCTACCAGTCTGAATGAATGTTTCTTCTTTAACTCCTTGGTTGTCAGACTTCCATACAGTTCAATTTTCTGGCAGTTCTGGTTTTTTGTTTCTAAATTTCTTGTTGTCCTTCTTTTGATTGTGCAAGGAGGCAAAGTGTATCCACCTACGCCTCCATCTTGACCAGAAGTCTCCTAATGATGTATCTTTTTGAGTATCTTCTCATGTGCTTATTAGACAAGTGTATATCTTCTTTGAAGAAATCTGTCTTCAAATCCTTTACTCATTTAAAAATTGGGCTTTTCTTTCCTTTCTCCTTTTTTTTACAGAAAGACTGACTTTATTTCCAACTACAAAGTAACCCATTAAATGCAGTTACTGAAGTAATTTTTAATCTATTTTTAAATTCCATTACATGCATTTAAAAATTTGTATTTACTTTAGAGAGATGGGGAAGGGCAGAGAAAAAGAGAGACATCAATCTGTTGTTCCATTTATTTACAGTCATTTGTTGCTTCTTGTATGTCCCCTGACTGGGGATCAAACCTACAACCTTGGTAATTCAGGTCAATGCTCTAACCACCTGGACTACACAGCCAGGGCTCCATTACATACATCTTTAAGTGCTCCACTACAATCATGATTAAAATGGCCCATGGAAAGTATTAGCTTTCAATCACTTGTCTTTAAGTATACCAATATTTTTCTTTCAGCGACAGAACAGGAAAAATATTCAGACTTCTGTTTTTCACCTATTTTTATAAAGCAAACATGCTACTAAAAGAGGAGGAATTATATTACTTAGAACTATTAAAGAAGGGCTGCTTTTCTTGAATTCTGAGTTCTTTAAATATCTTTCTTAACTACAAGTCCATTATCAGATATGATTTGTAAACTTTTTCCTATTGTTGATTTTCACTTTTTTTAAAAGATTTTATTTATTTTTAGAAAGAGGGGGAGAGAGAGTGAGATAAACTTCAATGTGTGAGAGATACGTTGATTAGTTGCCACTCACATGCCCCCAGCTGGGGACCTGGCCTGTTACCCAGGAATGTGCCCCGAATGGGAATCAAACAAGCAACCTTTTGGTTTGCAGACTGGCGTTCGGTCCACTGAGCCACACCAGCTGGGGCTTTTTTTAAAAGGAAAATAAATGAGACTTCATTGTCTGAAAACGCATGATTTGTCCCCAAAAGAGTTTTGAGGGATTAAATTGTCAGTAAATGTAACAAAACTCACAGGGACGTTTTTCCTCACCATGAGGAACATTTTACTTTTTTTGTTGAATTTATTGGAGTGACACTGGTTGTCTTTTGATTTTCATGATGGTGTTTGAAGTACAAAAGTTTTACATTTTGATTATGTCATATATATATGTGTATGTACATACATGCACATTTCTTTTTCCCTTTGTTGCTTTTGATGTCACCTCTAAAAAATTATTGCCCAATTTAAGATTACAAGGATTTACACCTGTGTTTTCTTCTTGGAATTTTATAATTTTAGCTTATACATAGGTCTTTTGATTCATTTTGAGTTTACTTTTATACGTGGTATTAGAGGTCCAACTTCAATCACCAGTGGTCAATGATTTATGAAATGAAGCCTCCATAAAACCCCAAAAAGACAGAGTTTAGAAAGCTTCCAGGTTGGGTAGCCAGAACACCTCCACCATGCCTGAACTCCATGGGGATAAAAGTTCCTGTTTTGGGGACCTTGTCCTATGGTTCTCTTCATCTGGCCATTAAATCATATTCCCTTTGTAATAAACTGGTAATCTGGGGAGTAAACAGTTTCCTTGAGTTCTGTGAGCAACTCTAGTAAGTTAGTTAAATCCAAGGAGGGGTTCAATGGAATCTGATTCACAGCCTGTCAATCAGAAGCACCTGAGCTTGTGACTGAAATTTCTGAGCAGATAATATCAAATTGAGTTGAATTGTAGGACACCCAGGTGGTGCCTAAAAACTACTTTGTGTTATAGGGAAAACCCCCATCATAACGGAATGTAGAACCTCTTACATAGTATGTCTTTATAATTCTTTCTACTTTTGTACGGTTGGTAGTAATGGCCACTCTTTTTATTAATGCCAAACTATCTCCCAAAATGGTCCTGTCACTGCAGCCACAGGATGAGAAGTCTATCTGAGGGTGTACATTGAGGAACAGGCATGATGTTTTATGGGAGAGTAAACAGATAAAAGCAAGGGAAAGCTTGGGAGCAGGCTTGCTATTACAAAGTCATATGACCTAATGTAGAGAGAAGCAGGAAACTGGGTGAAATTGATGCTAGACGGGAGATATGGCAATGAAGCCGAGTAGGTAACCAAGTGTTTATTATTCTGATTTCTGAATTTCTGAGGGAGGAATTTAACTATTAGAGGACAATGAGGCCAAGCAGATTAACTTGTTTCTATGGAGACATTACTATGACAAATGATAACCATATTAACATCCAACAATTATTAAGCACTTACTCAACATGAAATGAACTCCTGAACTCTAATCACTGTGGATTGCACACTTCTATGCAAATCTTGTTCATATTTTAACTGTATTCAGACAAACCATATTAGTGCATATATAATGGGGCCAATAAGGTCTCAGCTGTCATTTCCTCAAATAACAGCTTACATCCTTTTTAATATCTTAATGTTCTAATTTTACCAAGTACATTAGTTTTCTGTTGCTACCATAACAACAGAAATGTATTTAGTTCTGGAGGCCAGAAATGCAAAATAAGGGTGTCAGCAGGGCCCTGCTGCAGGTGCTAGGAGAGAATCTGCCCTTTGCCTCTTCCAGCTTATGGTGGCTGTTGCCATTCCTGAACTTCTGGCTGAATCACTTCAATCTGCCTCTGTGGTCAGAATGCCTCCTCCTCGGTCTCAAATCTCTCTGCCTTTCTCTTATAAAAGACACTTAACAATGGATTTCCTCACCCCCCTCCCCAGATAATTCAGAATGATTTCATCTCCAGGTTCTTAATTAAACCTGCAAAGATCATTTTTCCAAATAAAGAACAGTCTTGGTTTCCAGAAATCATAACATACATGGGCAAATCCTATGGGAAATCACCATTTAATCTTCTTATACTAGGGGATTTTAAATAACCTACAGATGTAAAAGAAAAAATGAAAAAAAATTTAAATTTCATTTGGGTAAAAAGGAATATTGAGGAAGAAAACATGCCATGACATTACAGACAAAAGAAAAATAAAAAAACCAAAGCCTTTAAAAACATATATATTTCATGTGCAGGATTAGAAAAAGAACTCTTTGATAATAAATACATCCAGGTAAACACAGAGTTCCTAAATCTATGACTATTTAATTGCAAATATTAATACCATAGGTTACTCTTCTACATAAAGGAAAAACTCCAAACCCTGTTATTTAGGAAGACATGGAGGGCAAGCAATATGTTTAGAGTAACTATTGCCAAATGTTCTCTTTCCTTGGGTGACCTAACATGTTACACGGATTAATTATAAAAGGAAGTATCAGACTCCATGGAATTTAAGCAAAAGACATAGCTAAAAATTCCCACTGAAGGTACAAAATATTGAATGCTTATCAGTGAGAATACATGTTAATTAAATATTAGGTACAAGGAAAATTGCAACTGTCTGGAGTATGAAAAAAAAATGGCACAAATACCTAACAGTCAGTTAATATAAACTTTGTTATTGGGTATGTTCCAGGCTTCCTTTTCTATTCCAGTGAGATCTGCTTCTTTTTTGTCCAAGGTCTTCCACTGCTGGACTCCAATATAGTAAATTGTTTAACATCATCAAGGCCTTGGTCATAGAAAGGATATATTTTTTTAAAACAACTTCTTTCTTCTTTACTAAAGATTGTGGTTGTTTTCTCTGCTACTTGCTTCTTTCAACTAGTTATTAACCTTCTCAGGTAAGAAAAATTAAAGGGCAAAAGTAAACATTCTATGTTAGCTGTCCCACAGTGTAGTAGCTGATTAATAAAGGAGCCACTCACTCAACCTTTTTGTCATTTGGCATCATCTAAAGAATAAGTAAAAAGGAACAAGGTTAAAAAGGACTCATGACCAAGGTACAACTTTTACAAATATCTTTGGCCATGAAAAGCTTTATTTCTTCATCATGCCCCCAAATGAATTTTTAATGGATCAAGATCCCTTCCTACCTATTAGAGGACTGTAGAAATAAATGCTTCAAAGATTTATTCATAGATCCGTCAGGAAAGGGGACCAAAAAAGAGGAAAATGTGGAATACAAGCAAGAGTAAACAAAGAGAATCCAACAAAATACACAGTTCACTAAAATAAGAATAGTTATTGATATAAATCCCTTACTCATTCTACATTTGACTGGCTCTTTTTACTATTTAGAAATTAAGATATTTTCAGTCTTTTGCTTTCCTTTTCCACATTGTCTCTAATATTCTGGAGTTTTCTGGAGTTCTGGACCAGGAACACAAAGCTGTCTCTAAAATCACTAGTCCCATGATTTCTGCCAACATTTTGAAGCTCATCAAACAAAGCCAATGTCTGTCTAAGTTTGGCCTGAACAAGTTTTTGCTCTTCTAATTCTGCAAGAAGGGCCTGCTTAGTGCATAATTCAATTTTATACTTCTCCTGCAACTGTTCAATTTCTTTTTGGAGAAGATGGAATTCCTCTTCACTATAAGAATGCATCTCCTGAGATTTATCTTCTGGAAGTAAGATGTTTGGGGGAATCCGCAAAATCCACTGTAAAAAAAGCTGCTCCATTTTGACAAAAAGGTTATCAAAACGTCCTTTCATGAAGCAGAGAAACTTCTCTGTGCATTTACGAATCTGGACTGGGCTAATCTCACAGTTTGGGATGCCATCCAGCTTCTTCAGAATAACCTGTTCAACAGCCTGCATCACTTCAAATAGGTAGTCTTGAAATGCAATGTAGATCCTGAGCATGCAAGTTTGTGGTGTAAAACCAAAGAACTGGGCTTCATAGGTCATTGGATCGACAGACATCTTGGCTTATTCTGGTATGTTAATTTTAATTGTGAAAAATCTGTAAATGTAAAAAAAAATCATGATTAAAAAAATCATCTGAGAAAAGTAACAAATCCCATTACAGCTAGAAAAGCTTTTGTTTCTTGATACCTATGCCAATTCCAGCCTCACTCAAAATAGGATGCAAACTCTCTGAGGCTCTTTCCATCAGCCTATCACCTCCCTTACTCCTTCATTTCCCTTACCTCTCATTTATTGAGGATTCTGACCTGTGGCTCAGTCTTCTGAAGTCTGTCCATCACCCCAGACAACATTCAGAGTTAGACATAATCTAATCAGTGCCCTAGAGACTTGGTTTCATGAGTTTCAGTGGCTTCACTCTTTCAGTCACCTGCCTTTTGATATTTGTAACTTCTCTCCCCAACTGCACTGTTTTTTAAAGATTTTATTTACCTATTTTTAGAGAGGGGGAGGGAGAAAGAGAGGGAGAGAAACATTGATGTGCGAGAGATACATCAATCGATTTGCCCTCAACTGGGGACCTGGCCCACAACCCAGGAATGTGCCATGACTGGGAATTGAATAGATGACCTTTCAGTTTGCAGACCAGCATTCAATCCACTGAGCCACACCAGCCAGGGCACTACTGCCCTATTTTTTTGTCCACAGCTTCCTATGCTACTCTTCCAACTCATACTATACCTTAATCACATACTTATACTATACCTTAACCATCAAGACCTTTAGCCCTCTGATCCTCTTCCCTACATTCAGTCTGTCCCATTTCACTTCTTCCCTATCCATTTTAGACTCTACCATCCATCACTTCAACCACTCCCTGGTCAATGTCTTCAACTCCTTGTCCTTCCAATCTAGCCATGGGGGAAAAAATCACACTTGGAAGCTGAGCAAGCCTTTTATGAGCTCTACAACCCCAACATGTTTTTACAAGGGTATAGAAGTCATTACTTTAGAATGTAAATATCTAGGAAAATAGCCCTATCTCCTTGTCACTGTGGAAGTTTAACCTATGTACCTTTTTTCTGAGCTATAATCATATGCTTGTCATAGAATAAGAGTTTTACTATTCCTTCAGATAAACGCAATTAGCTTAAATAAATGGCTACCTCAAATACCAGGTGATTTTAGGATGAATTTTATGAAAGAATTTGAAGCAAATGGTATGATCAAATCTTATGGGAAGACAAGATAAGATGCAGGTAACCTTGAGAAATTATGTAATGGCTAAAAATGGAATGGTTGTAATTGCTTGTCTGCATAAATAGATTACAAAGAAATTCTAACCTCACTCAAATTATCTACAATGTGTTGTAATCTAGATATGACTATTCAGTAATAAAACAACTTTCTTTTCTGTCTGTGGAAAGGATTCTCTGGGTTGGCAGGATTTTTATTTCCTCAACACGGCCCTATACCTTCAGGATCAAGTTCAAACTCTTTCAACATGGCTTACAAGGACCTTCGTCATCCAACCCTTACTAGCCACATTCTGTCCTTAAGAACCTCACATGTGCATAATTGAGCTGATAATACTTCCTATTTCATAGCACTCTATTTTTAGTTCATGCTAGGTCTTCTCTTACTTTATTCTTCCACTTTTCATCTCCCGTCGGAACCTACTCTAATGTCTTTTTTAGAGTTATTTATTTATTTGAGAGAGAGAGAGAGGGAAAAATCAATTTATTTGTTGTTCCACTTATTTTTGCATTCACTGGTTGATTCTTGTATGTGCCCTAAGTGGGGATCAAACCTGCAACCTCGGTATAATGGGATGACACTCTACCCAACTGAGCTACCCAGCCAGGGTAATGTTTTTGACATATGGTTTTTTGATTCATCTTTAACTTTAGTTTTTAGATATATATTCTTGAAAAATACAGTTCTGTATATGTATGTTTATATTTCTCTTTACATTTGCAATCTCTTCATGTTATTATACATAAGTTTACTTCATTGGTTCTGACTGAAGTATTCCAACAATGTTATCATATGCATATACCACACTAATGTCCATTCTCCTTGGGACAGACACCTAGTTTGCTTTTAGCACCTCACTACCAGCAATGATGCTGTAATAACACCCTCCTATGTTGTTTCCTTAGGGATTTGCAAGGTATTCAAATAACTGATAGTCATAGAATTCACTCATAATTTCTCTAAATACTGCCAAAATGTTCTCCAGAACACTGCGGGAGGGGGTATCCTACACTGGTTTACACCGCCGTTTGCAGCATATGAGAATTTCTCATACCTTCGCCAACGCTTATCCAACATTACAGTTTTTACCAATTTGGTAGATACAAAATTGTTTTACAATGTCATCTTTTGAAAACCAAAACCATCTAGTCCCACACAGGTTGGATAATAAGGACTGAAACTATCTACCTTCCCCCGCCCCCCCCCAAAAAACCTTGCTCTTTACATTAGCATAACATTACTATTCTGGGAGACCAATATATTTTCACTGTTCTAAGGTCTTGAACTACACCAAAGATGAATCCCCTCTTCAATGGGAAGCATTGACAATTTGTACCCTAAAATTCTCTGAAGCCCTTGCCTCAGCTGTTTCTACCAATCCTGGACTGTTATTTCTAGATCCCTACCCAATCCTAATCAAGCTCCCAAATTGAAAATTCACCTTAAACCAAACTTGCAATTCTCAAAAAAATTCCCATCTTGCCTTTCTTTCCTATGACCTACACCAAAGCTCTTTCGAGGTTCGTGTTTCTCCCTTACCAGAGCTAAGCTGTAAATACAGCATTGTTTTATCAACAGGTTGCGACGGTGATATTCGGGAGCAGACAAAAATATTTAACTGCATTTGTTCCTACCAGTAAAACTGGGTACCACTCACTTCATACATGCTAGCTTTTCAGGTTTCTCCCAGGAATTACCCATTCACATCCTCTTTAACAACCACTCTCCCCACCCTTTTACTTGGTCCCTTTCTTATATATTACCAGATTAAATTGTCACTCTCTATTCCAAAAATCTTTAGTGCTTCCTTACTGTCTGCCAAGAACTGACTATTTGTTCCAACCAAACCAAACTATATTCTTTCCCTGTGATGTCTTTCCCTCAAGAACAGATGCCGTGGCCAAATATTCTTCAAAAGTCAGTTTAAATACACTTCCTTGGTGACGCACCCCTCCTCTGAACCCCATCAGGGCCTTTCTTCGGGCACTGACCGAGTTCTACTTCACGATATTATCACGGGCCTGTCTCAACTTCTCTGCTAGCCCTCGAGTTCCTGGGGCCAGGGCGAAGATGGCTTAATCAGTGTGTGCAGAATAAACACTGGAGGTGTCCAGGATACTTCAAGGATTTAAGTTGACAGAGCAGCAGAAACCGCCGGACAGGAACTGCTTCCGGCCGAAGGACTAGCTCCCATCGGCCCCGCAGCCCCGCGGCATGCCGGGACCTTCAGATCGCAGGCCCCGCCGGCGAGGTTTCTCCAGCGCCGGGCAATGATGCCTAACCCAGTTCCACTCCTTTCCTCTCTTCCTCTGGGAAACTGCAGGTCCGCAGCACTTACCGAAGCGACCGTGAGGGTGACAAGTTCGATCAAACAGTGGCTTCTCGCCACCTCCTTTAAACCACACCTCGCTGCCAGAGATCGGCGGCGCAGGTCGCTCCCCAAAATTCCGGCCAAAGCTAGCATCAGCGAACGACAGCAAAGGCGGGACGCTTTCCCGCTTCTGATTGGCTGACTGGACAGTCGGAAGGGGGCCACCTAGATTGGTGACTGAAAAGGGCCGGGCGGGCAAGCTAGCTGTGGCCCGCGGGGATTGGTGAAAGGAACCTTGTACTTACTCTCTTCTCTGTGACGTGGATGGGTGAGGAAGCAAGGCTGCTGCTCCACGGAGACGCAACTCATGATTGGTGAGTGGCTTTTTTTTAGGCCTCTTACGATTGGTAGCTGGCAGATGGCGCGGCGCCGATTGGACAACAGTGGGCAGGGCAAAGGGAGGTCTCTTTGATCCCGCCCCGCCGCTTGCGCGACTGGCGGAAGGGGAAGTGGGGCGGAGGGGCAGGTGGCGGAGGGGAAGATGGCGTACCAGAGCCTCAGGCTGGAGTACCTGCAGATCCCACCGGTTAGCCGCGCCTATACCACCGCCTGCGTACTCACCACTGCCGCAGTGGTGAGCAACTGCAGCGCCAGCTTCTCATTAGCCGGACTGGATATGATCGGTTTTTAGGAAACGGGGGTTTGGGCCTCAGGGAACCCCAGATGGGCTGGTCTCAGGGGTGGGTGGACAAGGCTCACTTTGGGATTCGGAATTGCTTTGAGACCGGATAAGGGAGTGCTACTGCAAGACGGGTAGAGGATCAGGACTGCAGGTCAGTTTCGGAGAGATGAAGGCCAGACCTATAGCAAGTCAAGGCAGCGGGAGCCGCACATCCAGAAAACGTGCCTGAGAACTCTGGCTATGTCCAAGTGGTACCTCGGTGACTAGTAGGGTGGGGGGCGGGGGGAGTCCGCTTATGAGTAAATTTAGATATCGAGGACAGAAAGCTGGAAGTTGGCGAGAGGGAAGAGTCTTGATATAAAGAATGTGGATATAGAGGTTGTCTGGAAGCACCCTGCCCTGACAGTGGCAAGCTCTTGAATCTCGGTTCTTTTGAGGGTGTTGTGTTGCTTCACCCAACTGTTCTAGATGGTGCCCATATGATGGGCAGATTCATAGCAGCTGCTCTTTACTTGCCATATATCTTAAGAGTAATTTGCTTTAAGGAGCTCTTTTTCTATTTCAGCAGTTGGAATTGATTACACCTTTTCAGCTGTACTTCAATCCTGAATTAATCTTTAAACACTTCCAAGTAAGTGGTCCGTCACAACCATAATTGTTTCAGTTTTTAAACTTGTTTTTCTTTTTAGTAGTAAATCCTGCCGTGTACTCCCTCAAAAAAGAATTCAATGGGAATATTTGACTATGAGTCGTATAGTGAGGTTTATAAAGCAGTGATTCTGCAGCCTAATTGGGCTTCAGAATCACCTAGGGAATGTTTAAGAGATTCTCAATTTCCTCATCATGTACCAGATGAGGATCACAAAGGGTAGAAAGTAAGAATCTGTATATATATATTTTAAGTTCCCTGAAGGGTTTTGATTTGATGTGTCCATTTCCTATATATAGGAATCACTAGTTTAAAGTTAATATTGTGTTTGACAGGAGACTGACCAGCCTTTAGAAAGTTACAGAGGTAATACAAGTGAGCCAGCTGGGCTGCGTGGGCTCGGCAAACAAGTTACAGAGGCAAAGGAAGGGCCCTTGGAGCTTAGGAGAAAGAAAGACAAAGGTGACTTGCCTGGGAGGAAGAAGTAGAGGAAGGAAAAGGCACAGGCCTGGTCCCAAGAGGGAGAGCACCTCAAGTCTGCTTTTAAATTGCTTCATCTTCCAGGGATGAGATCATACTGACAAAACTCCAAAAGACCAACATCTTAAACAACATGCCAGTTTATTAGATTACAGTGGGAAATAGTACTTTCCAGTAATTAGAATGCTAAATGAGAGATGTATTTTTCTGCTCTAGGATATTTTTATAGGCTATAGTTGGAGAGAGAGACTTGCCTCTACACATTCTATTCCCTGTTTCAAATGTGTTTCATTCATGTTATACCCATTGATCTCCAGCTTGCCTATGGAGACACAGCTTTTGAGATTCATTCTCCTTTGTGTCCCTAGAGTATCTGTAAATGCTTCTTTTAGAGCATGTGCCATTTCATATTTGGACTTATTTTATGCTTGCCTCTTCACAAGGATGAGGACTCTAAAATCCTTGATGCAGTTAGTATGTAGAACTGAATTGTTTCAATTTTAATAAATACCAATTCTTAAGAATTTAATGATGCATAAAGCAGTCCTGTGGATTCTTGTCACTGTCTTCTTCCTTTGATACTCACTGGCCTTTGCTAGGAGCTATATAGCTCCATCCAAGCATTGCTTCCTAGTTAGTACTTGCTTGGTTTGATTTTGCCTGGGGTTAAAACCCCTGATACTATGTATCTGCATTAGGAGTTAGGAGTTCTAGGTCTTGAGTTCAGTCTCCTTTACAATTTGCCCTTTGGGCAAGTCATTTTGAAAGTATTTAAGACTCTTAGTTTTCTTATTTGTGCAAGGGGATGGCAGTAACAGGATTAAGATTACATGAGATAATAGAATCTGTTAAAACACTTTAAAATGTTAAGTGCTCTACCATTGTGAGAAGTTGTTTTTATTGTGTGTCAGTGGGTTGGGTAGGAAAGAGTATATCAGGGTTTCCAACAAGAAAAATAAATGGCCTTATATCAATCAATTATAGAATTTAATTATTAGAGCATTAGGTCTTTACTTGTAGGCATATAGCTATTTACTCAGACTGGAACTTGAGTGTTTGCTTTATAATTACTCCTCACTCTGGACATTTTGGACTGCCTAATATAGAGACTTTTTTTTTTTAGCAATTTATATTAGGTCCCCCTGGAGTTTTTTCTGATATCCAAAGACGGTTCATTAGATTGCAATACTACAAAGTGAAGGCAATGTTTTTTATTATGCAAATTAACCTTGTCTTTCCATCAAACTTTTTCCATGATTTGTCTGACCATGTTAGAGACAATCACAATTTTAAGTTTTCTGTCCTATTGTCCTTACAAATTTCAGGAGCTGACTGTCATCATTCAGATTTTCAACAAGAAGCAGCACAAAAATCCAGCGTCAATTTTTGTGCCCCACTTTTTGGTTCAGAACACGGTGTCACATATCCATGGACTTCCAACCATTGTAGTCAGAGGATATCTCTTTTGTTTTAATATGGAAATGTTTCCTAGTATATTTTACTCAGTCTGTCTCTTGATTTTTTTTTTCTTTTAACAGATATGGAGGCTAATCACCAATTTCTTATTTTTTGGGCCAGTTGGATTCAATTTTTTATTTAACATGATTTTTCTGTATCCTTTACTAAGTGGGGTTAGCATAAAAACCTTAGGTTTACTTAGGAAATACAGTATTAAGTTGAAACTATTAATCCTGTTAGTTTTGTTACTGTCTTAGCTGTAACTTCTAGATACTGGCTCAGTGGTACACAGAGTAGTTAGTTGGTCAGATAGTGTTGTTTTGATGGTGTCTGTAAGTCACTGTTGGTTCAAGGGGCAGGTACTTAACCGTAAGATGATTATATTTCACCCCGTAAGTCACTTGCAAACCTGATCAAGTGAGATGAATGATTTAATTGATTCATAGTTATAACATCAGCAGATACCGTGATAATTAACAGCTTTTTGGTTTTTCTGTTTGTTTTGATAATTAACAGAGTTTTGATAGAGGTTTGGGACTGGGTTCATAAGGAATGGAAACTTGAGATCCTATATCTTAGTTACTTGTTTTCCTGGCCGAAAAGATAGTGCCGTAATGTCTGCTGGGCTTGCCATGTTCCAGTTTATTGAAAGACAGGAAGAGTCATGCTCTGGTCATATGGTAGTTGGGGCTACTGAGCCAAGAGCTTTCTCCTCTGACCCTCTGGAAAGGGCAGTTACAATTCACCTCATCTACAGTAGACAGAGAGCCATGTAGGGTTGACAGGATTCCTGCCCTAGGATGGATTCCTGTGTCTCCTAAATACTATATTATTCTAGTAAATTTCTGATAAATTTTTTTTATCGTGATGCAATTTCATTGACTGAGATATAGAAATGCCTAATCAACCTGCCTTGAAGAAGTAGATTATCACACAAGGCTTCTTGTGGGGATTTCTTCTAAATTAGCTTGTGCAAAAGTGATGCAGATTGTGTGGCTGAACATGAAAAAGGTACAAATTTTAAAAGGTTTAATAGGTGACTGGGAGTATGTGTTTCCAACATCTGGCTTATTTCCCCAATTGGGAACAGTTTTTGTAAACTACGGAGTTGCCTAAAATGGAAAAGAGAAGTAACGACACGGCCACTCAAACAGTCTTACAGAAAAAAGGCTTGGCTTACAAATAACATGGAGTCCAAGTGTACCTACATGGTATGTTAAATTTTACTTTTTTCATATTTGTGTGGTAAACATTTTCTTAACTTGGAACCTAAGATATCGTTACTGTCGAATGCTAGAAGAAGGCTCTTTCCGAGGTCGGACAGCAGACTTTGTATTTATGTTTCTTTTTGGTGGATTCTTAATGACTGTATCCTTAAACAAATAGAACAAACACAGGAAAATGCTAACACCTTCTCTCTTCCTAAAGTTTTTCATCTGTCTTCCACAATTTACTAGGTACCCTGAACAAACAGACCTCTAGATTTTAGCCTCAGTGTACTACTATTTATTTATAGCACACCTTATGGGCAGCTTTCCAAGCTTAGAGGTTAGACAAAAAGCTTTTTCTTTTTCCTTCTTCTCTCTCTCTCTCTTTTTTTGTTTTGTTTTGTTTTGTTTTGTTTTTGACAAGATGCTTTTCTACTGTGAGCAAGTCAGAGGAACTTTTTAACCCAGGTGGGTTACTGTTATGTATCTAAGATATATAATTGTTTGTGGGTGTACTTCACTTTTAAAAGATTAAGCTGGTAAGATGCTTATTTGGTTACTACCAAAAATGATACATTATTTAAAAAAAAAAAGAATTATCAACCATTTTAACAAACTTGAATGTTGTCGTGTCTGACAAGATAGTTTTGCTCCATGTGGCTTTATTCACCTCTGTAAAGGTGCTAATAATGAGTGAACTTTAATGCAATTATTGACCAAATAATTAACACATTTTCCAAAAAGGCAAAAACTTCATGAACGGAGAATAACAGTTTGAAGTCCAGATGAGTTGGCCTAAGCAGGTTTTTGCCTGATTGCTCTGGGAAATTATTTTCAGGATTTTTTCTTCTGAAGATGTAAGTAACTGCTCTGACCAGTGCGGCTCAGTTGATTGGGCATTGTTCCCCAAAGCTAAGGTCGCCAGTTTGCTTCCCAGTGAGGGCACATGCCTGGGTTGTGGGTTTGGTCCCCAGTGAGGTCACGTGCAAGAAGCAACTGATCAGTGTTTCTCACCTCTATGTCTTCCTCTCCTTCTCCCTTCCCCTCTCTCTAAAAATAAATAAGTAAATTCTTTTTTCAAAAAGATGTAACTAATGCTCAGTTTTCCTAATTTGAACTTTTCTTAGAGCACAATTCCTAGTTCTCTTACCCATCTCCCCTATTACACTTTTGATGTTGATATTTTCCTTAATGCTCTCTGCTAGATTTTTGGTTTGTTTGTGAGCTTAGTTTTCTTGGGCCAGGCTTTTACAATAATGCTTGTCTACGTGTGGAGCCGAAGGAACCCATATGTCCGCATGAACTTCTTCGGCCTTCTCAATTTCCAGGCCCCCTTTCTACCCTGGGTGCTCATGGGCTTTTCCTTGTTATTGGGGAACTCAATCATTGTGGACCTCTTGGGTAAGAGTTTTATCACTACTTTTTCTATTATTTACTTATAAACCTACTTTGTCACTATTTTTCATGTTTATTCTGTTTGGCCTTCACATAATAGCTACTATGGAATTATTTCATAGTTATATGCTCAAAGACTACAATATTAGGTTTTTAATTTTTACTAATTATATTGATATTTCTTCCTAAATATAAGGAATTTATGTTGGTATATTCACCTGCAATCAAAATTTTAATCCTCTGTCTCCTTTATTTCTGGTTGACTTTAGGTATTGCAGTTGGACACATATATTTTTTCTTGGAAGATGTATTTCCCAATCAGCCTGGTGGAATAAGAATTCTGAAAACACCATCTATTTTGTGAGTATTTAAACCAGGTTGTGTGTTTTTTGCATATAAACTGGGGCAGGGTCCATGATCATCGGTCAGGTCAGTAAATATTTGCAGATTGAGCAGCCTGCCTGCCTGCCGTTGAGGAGCACTGGTACCAACAGGAACAGACAGTGCCAGGGTTGTGGCAGGAGCCTGGTTAACAGGCTCAGATGTGCTGAGGCTGATTTGTTCATTGTTCTCCAGGATGACCTCTAGCACCTCCTGCTCCAGAGAGGAGTCTGCTGGTTTTATGAAAGCTGCAGAGTTTTTGAGAATACAAAAAGAAAGGAAGAAAGCTACTGAGTTAGAGAGGTGAAGTAGCAAAATGGGCAAAGCTGACTAGAGGAAAGTTTTTAATGGTGGAATTAAACAGGTGGTATAGGTAAGCAGTAGAAGGGAAATAACTTGGGGCTAGAAAACAGATGTAGGCTGTTCACTAACCAGCCAAGTCCCTTCCTTTCTGCACATCATTTTTCCTGGGAATGGAGCTTTCATAGGACCTCTTTCTACTCTGAAATTTTGTGTCCTTGGGATATACTGCATTAAAAAGGGTTCACTTGAAGAATAAAATGCGAGTTTCCATTATAAAATTCTGGTTGTAGAATAGTTAAGCAAAACAAAGTAAAATTTTCTTTAAAATCCCACCACTTACTAACTTTTTGGTATGTGTTTTTCAGTCTTTTATTGTCTGTGTACTTTTTAAAAATGCTTTTTCGTGACCTTTTTAAGTAGTATGTGTCATAATAATTTTTCATCATGTACATCCTACAAAATTGTGACAGCCACATGATACCATGTGGTATGAATATAGCATAAGTTTATCAAGACTTTTTTTAAGTTTATTGATTTTAGAGAAGGAAAGGGCGGGGAGCAGAGAGAAACATGATTTGTTTTTCTATTTATTTTTGCACTCATTGGTTGATTCCTGTATGTGCCCTGACAGGAGATCAAATCTGCAACCTTGGTGTATTAGGACAATGCTCTTACCAACTGAGCTACCCAGCCAGGGCCTAATCCCTTATTGATGGACATTGGCATTAGTTCTTGCTTTTCCCTTCTATAAGTGGAGTGGTGGATATCCCTGTAGCTAAATCTTGGCACACATCTATGATTATTTTCAAATATTAAATTCCTAGAAGTGAAATTTCTATTTTGTTTATTGCTAAATCGCTGTCCAGAGTGGATGCTCAAGTCTACACTTCTACCAGCAATGTAAAAGTGTCCATTTCCCCACATCCTCCACAAACATGGAGGTACTGCATTTATTCTTCCCTAGTTTGGTGAACAAAGGACTTCTTTCCCCTTAGGTATTTGAAAGTAAATTGTCAGTCTAATGCCCCTTTAATGTATATTTTCTATAAACAAGGGCATTCTTCCACAGTCAAAATCAGGAAGTGAACATTAATCCACAAACACAATTCCACACTTGGGAATTGTCCTAATAATATTCTTTATAGCAAAAGAATGCAGGGGTTGCATTTAGTTATGTCTCCTTTAGTTCAGAACAGCTCCCCAGTGTTTCCTTTGCTTTCATGACACTGACATTTGTGAGGATTATAGGCCCATTTTGTGGAATGTCTCTCAATTTTGGTTTGCCGAATGTCTCTGACATTTAGGTTCAATCCTTGGCAGGAAAATCAGAGAAGTGACACTGAATTCTTCTAATTGCAGCCTATTAGGACAGGATTTCAGTGTGTTGAATTTGTCAAAATGATAGTTATTACTTTGATTACTTCATTAAAGGTATCTGTGAGGCTTCTCCACTGTTTTCTCTATAATTAGCATGTATTGCTTTTTGTATTAAAAATTAATGAGGTAAAAGCTAATGTAAATATGAAATGCACATACCTTCAAAATATGATAACTTACAGGGGATGGGGCTTGCTAGAAGAGGGAATGTGGGGATAAATGATGACAGGGGACTTGACTTGGGGTGGTGAACACACAATATACAGATGATGTGTTACAGAATTGTACACCTGAAATCTATGTAGTTTTATTAACCAATGTCACCCCCATAAATTCAACAAAAAAATATATAACTCTTTCATTGGTAGGCAGATGTAATGCTTGTCCATTGGTGGAAACGCCAGAGATCTTTTTGACCTTGCAGTATTCAGGACCTAAATTATATCTGTTTTCTGTGTTTTAGGAAGGCTATTTTTGATACACCAGATGAGGATCCAAATTATAATCCACTACCTGAAGAGCGGCCAGGAGGCTTTGCCTGGGGTGAGGGCCAGCGCCTTGGCGGGTAAAGTGGCAGTGCCAATAATGGACCCAGCTGGGAAGGACTCAGTGACACACCCATGGGGATTCTTCTATCCTTTGTGTTGCAAAAGTGTGGACACTTTTGACAGCTTGACAGATGTTAACTCCAGAAGCACTTTATGAAATGGTACACTAATCCAGAAGACATTTCAAGCAGTTTGCCAGTGGTTCCTCACTACACTGGTACTGAAAGTGTAATCTCTTGGAGCCAAAAAAACTGGAGAAACAAACACCCTACCACTTCTGGTGAACAAGTACTCGAGTACTTGAGTTCTGTGGTATAAGGCAGAGCTTTTTCCTCCTCTTCTGTGATAGACGCGGCCATGGTGTAAATGGAAGTTTCAGGGAGGAAAAAATAAAACTGAATTCCATCTCTCTCTCACTGAATTAGAGCTTTTGTGTGTGATCTTTTAAATTATGATGCTATATTTCAGCACTCCTGCATAGGTGTGAACTCGGAGCAGCTTCCATGCTCACTCCTGTGTCTCCACAGCTTTTGACTGGATTTCATTTCAAGATTGGAAATGTGGCTGTATATACATCTTACTAATTCAGAATGCCAGCTGCAGTAGGAAGATTTGTTTCTGTTCTCATTGGGGTTTTACAAAACTTCAAGTTGTCAGATGATTTGGAAACAAGGGGTGGGGGTAGGGTGGCTCTTGCAGCAGCAGGAATTCAGCTATAGGAGGGTCCAACTATAGGCAGAAAGTTCACGTGGCATCTGATTTACTCTGCCTGCATTTCTCCATTAAGAACTCCAGGGGAAGATAATGGCCTCCTTCTTGTGAAGCAACAGATTTTTAGGCCTGGAAACCAGTTTAGAATGTTGACTTTGGAGCTGGATGAACAGGTACCAATTAGGCAGGGATATGTTTCTCCTGGGTCTTTGGCTGATGAACATTTGCCATTTGCTTTATGGAAAACCAAGAAGCTTTTCAGAGCCAAGTACCTGGTTTACTTTCCAATCAGGTAGAAATTAGACAGGTTCCACAGAAATAGGAACTTAATGCCTGTGGTTCAGTAAATGCTTATCCAAAATAGTAACTTCCCTGGGTCTCTGCATGTTTGCATTCATGCTGCCTAAGTAATTCAGGGAACCCAGAGGACTAAAAGGGACACCCCCAGAAAACAGATTGTTTCAAATAGTTTTGATAAACAGCATGTAGGCACAGGACTATTTCCTAAGTAGTTCCAGACTCTGTAAGTGGTAGCTTTCTAGAGTATGCGATTTTCCTCTGAAATGAAGGTTTAAATTAAACATCCTAAATGGGAATTTTCATAGTGTTTGTGAAGTGAATAGTATTTTAACATCTGATTTCAATGGAATATGCATAAGGAATGAAACTTACATATTTTACATGCTATTGGTTGGTAATTTTGAATATGATTGTTGCAATTTTATAGAATATGGGTTAATGGGACTGCTGTTTTTCCTGAGTGGTTTAAAAACTTTAAATGCCAATCTTGGAATGCATAATCCTTAGGGGATTCTTAAATTGTTGTGTCTTTGTTCAAGAAAGCTTGAATTGAATTAGTAGGAGTTTTTTATATTCATTTTGGGACTAGAAGTGGGTTTCTCTAGTTTTATTTGTTCTCCCTCAGTTAACTGAGTTATCCCATTCATGGAATTTTTGTGGTAAAATTTTAATCCTAAAATCTTTTCCTTGGCTGTTCATTTAAGTAAGGAATGTCTGTGCATATTGATGGCTGGGTAAAACAAGAAGCCAGTTTTGAATTGATAGCCTAACACAGTTGGTTATGGGAGTTGGATTTCTCTGATGGGATGAGAATTCCTAGCGGCAGGATGCCACACTGTGCCACTTTACTCTGCCCTGGGCAGTGGTCATTTCAGTCACCAACCTCTTATCAGATTGGCCCGTCCCACTACCACTATCCCTAGCCCTGTGTTGCTTAACAGGTTACCTAGGCTTACCTGAACATAAAGAAAAATTTCATCATCTCCAACTTACCTCTCAGTCTCGATTCTTCCAGAACACCCTTTTACATAATGCAAGTCAACTGAAAAATGAGATTCGGTATATGGAATTTTGTGACAAATTTACCTGACATAATTTAAGGGATTCCTGGATTCTACCAGTAATACTGAAAAGCACACCTAACCAAGGCATAGTTTTGTTGTTACTGTAGTAATACAATATACGTTCATTTTTTTTAAGTGGACGTGTAAATTGCATCTCCCTCGGAGATAACATTTTATATACATTTTGGTGTGTTTTTTTCACTATGGATTTCTATTTGTTTCTCTCTTCCCATTGTTCTTTTTCTGTGTCACTCTCCTATGTCCTAATATCTTTCATACCTCTTGTGTAGTATTTCTAAGCAGAGAGTGCCCAAGTGTTAGATTTTGGTAATGAAACCCTCGCTCTGTCTCTAGGGTCTATTGAAATTAGGAAATATTGGAGCTACTGGCATGTTGCATAAGAGGCTTCCTAGAATTGTCGTCTGTCTTTGATAGCCTGTATTTTATGTTGCAGCCATGTTTTCACTTGATAGGTGAGTGCCATCTGTGTTGTAGTCACACTATGCCATTGTTTTCTAGTGTGTAGGATGTCCCCTAAGCTATTTGCATATTATATGAATTCGCATTAAAGCTGTTGAACTTTTTATGATCAAGTAACTTCTCTGCTCAGAAATCCACAGTGACTTCTTAGCCCCCATACCAAATGCATACTTTTTGTCTTCCTCTGAACCCTACTCCCACTTGTACCCAGCAGGGACCCCAGTTCAAGTCTCTTAAGTCCTTCAAGGCCTGACCTCTTTCCTGGTTCCTTCAGAAATCTTGACTCTAAGGCCCATTTCATTGTCTTTCTGCTTTGAACTCCTGTAAAGCTTCAAGTCTGTATGACATACTCTTACACCAAATTATATGTTGTCTTGTACTGTTACTAGCTGGTACATGTATATTAGTTGTCTCCCTCATGAGAATGTAAGCTCCTTAAGGGCAGGGACCATGTCTTAAACTTTTGTATCCACCACAGTGCCTAGCACAGTGCTTGGCACATATGTGCTGAATAAATACTTTGTTTATTGATCAGCAAACTATTATCTGGTATTTTTAACTAAAGAGGGGTTAATGTATGTGCATGCAAACTTCTACCTAGTTGCTGAGGCTTGTGATCTTGAAGCAGGGTAGAATAAAACCAAACATGGTCACGGGCAGTGGTTTGATGGTCAGATAAGCCAAGGAACAGCAGTGACCACCACCAGCTGGTACGATCATAGTGAGAATAGACAGTTAAGTCCACAGACCATCTCAGAGCACTTAAGAATGAAATGTGTTTAACAATTCACCTTTTAAGGGGATGGATGGGGCGAGGAAGAGCAAGAGGGAGTGGGGGATGGGGACAACTAACAACAACAACAAAAAAATAATTCACCTTTTGGAAGAAGAACCCAAATATTTGAGTAGTTAGCTTGTGACCATCTATATATGAAAGTCATTTAACCACAAGAGACTTATTTTGGAGGGAGGCAGATTTCAAACTGCCGATGTTGTGGGGGTTGGAGGGATAGAGGAGGAAATGTGTGTAACACTGCTGGATGCCAATATAAGATTTTATTTTTCAACTCTTTCAGGCTGCAAAATAGCTGGGTCATTAGGCCAGAGGTTATGGATGAGTTGCCTACATATTGGTTTATTTTTGTCTGCACCCATTAAAAAAAAATTTGACCCTGGTTGTTGTGGCTCAGTGGATTTAGTTCACAGAACTGGAAGGTCACTGGTTCGATTCCCAGTCAGAAGACATGCCTGGGTTGTGGGCCAGGTCCCCAGCAGGGGGTGCATGAGAGGCATCCACACATTGATGTTTCTCTCCCTCTCTTCCTTCCCATCTCTAAAAATAAAGAAAATCTTTAAATAAAGATTTTTTGAGCTAACATTTAAAATGAACAGATTTTACATGAAAACTTCTCATTTTATTTTGCTTGATAAAAAAAAATTGGAAGATCTGGCAATACCCAGCCTGCATGGCAGCTAGAGACAGGGAATGTCCTCTATCAAGAGATCATTTCACTCAATCATATTATCTACCTCAACTCATCATTTGGAGCAAGTGTCTCTATTAGCTTACTCTGGAAAGCATACTGGGACAAAGGACTGAAGTCTGTCTTACATAATTTTCAAGTTAAGGCCTATAGTTTGAAAGTTAACATTTAGTTATTGTTATGGTCTGAATATTTGTCCCCCGTCCCCAAATTCATGTTGAAATCCTAATGCCCAGAGTGATACTAGGAAGTGAGGGCCTTTGGGAAGTTGTTAAGTCATGCGGTAAAACCCTCATTAATGGGATTAATGCCTTATAAAAAGGCTGCAGAGACATTCCAACCCCATTCCTTCATGGGAGGACACAGCAAGAAAGTTCTCCAGGCAGACATCATGAGAGTGCCTCCCCCAAAGACAGTCATGTCACCTTGACCTTGGACAGGGATCCAGAACTGTGAACAATAATTTTCTGTTGTTTGTAATTCACCTAGTCTGTCATATATTGTTATATCAGCTGCACAAACAGATTTTCCTTTTTATTTGGATTGCTTTTCTAAATATGTAAGGGTAAGAAGTGAAATTTTGTCAATTTATTCTTAAATATATCTGCTGTAAGATCAACATGTACATTTTCAGTAACTCCCTATCGCTATACTGTCAGCAAGTGAAGGAAAATTGTGTCAGACCTGGAAGAAACGGGAAGGGGAATTTTCAACAGGTTCACAAATATGAGTTGCCAGGGTTGCCCAGAGATGAACTTCACAGGGTGCCCAAAGTCCTCCATGTGCGTTGAAACTCACCACGAATTCTTTGGAAATAATTTCCTGAATGCAGAACAAAGGAGCCGCTTGCCCGTCTTTCTGTGCCGAATCAAAAAAAAATAATCTAAGAGCTTTGGATTTAGGAGAGGATGGAGAAACTAGTTGTAACCAACCTCTTTTCCCTGCAGGAGTTATGAATCTTTGCATTGATTGGTGTTTGTGTGATGGAGGTTGGGAAGCACTGTGGAGAACTTCAGAGTCTGGCAGAGATAGTTGGGGAAAAGAAGGGTAAAAAACTATTTTAGTTTCATTAAACTTCCTCTTTCCTTACTTGTGCTGCAGGAGCAGACCACATCCATTGGGATAGTCATTTTCTGAGGAGAATATATGATTGTTAGAGGATATATCAGAATGATTTCCTCTTCTGCAACACAAAATGATCACCAGTAATGTCCTTTTCAACAATTTTTTTTAATTTCAGGAAACATTTTATTTTTATTTTTTTAACATTTTTTAAATTTTAATCATTGTTCAAATACAGTTTTCCCCTTTTTACTCCCAATCCAGTCCCCCCTCCCACCCTTGTCCTTTTCAACATTCTAATGTGGCATCTGAATGACTTTAATCTCAGAGGCTCAGTTTCTTTATCTGGAAATTGGGGATAATATCAATATCTACTATGTAATATAAATTGTCATGCAAGGGTGTCTAAATTTTGGCGTCTCTGGGCCATACAGTAAATAAACAAACACCGACGAAAACAAAAATAAACCTCAGTGTTTTAAGTAAGTTTATGATTCTGTGTTGGGCCGCATTCATAGCCGTCCTGGAGACCGCAGGTTGGACACCCCTGTTAGAGGATTAAATAACGCAGAAGTTTGTGTGTTTCTAATCTTACAAAACTTTCCTTAAAGAACGAGTATTATTGTGGGCAGAGAAGAAGAAACGTGTGTTTACTATAATTAGTATTACCGGTACAATAAGCCTGGAAGACCGTTTTATTACGCAGGGGAAAGGCCCCTGTAACCGTACACCCGGCCTTCTGCAGCTGTCGCTTCCGGCCTTTTTCCTGCTGTACTTGGGCTGCGGGTCTCCCCGCACTCCGGAAGTGAAAGCCTCCACAAGCGAAAGCCTCCGCAAGCTCCCAGTGCATGCTGGGAGCTGCAGTCCCTTTCCTAAAGGCTAGGTGAGGGCGTGAGATCTCGAGTAGTCGCCGGGAGCCGCTAGCAGGTGGCGGGAGATGGGCGGTGCGTGCTAGCCGTCGGCTCCCGAGAGCTACGAAGTCGTCCGTCCTAGCTCCTCCGGTGGCCGTGCCCTGTCGACATGCCCGAGGAGGCGGGCTTTCCGCCAGCTAAGAGATTCCGGCAGGGCTCGGGGCCTCCGAGCCACGCCGGGTCCTGCCCTCCCGCGAGGCGAGCGGTAATGCTGCTGAGCGCGGGCAGCGGTGGTGGAGGAGGAGGCCGGCGGCGGCAGACGTCCCTGGCCCAGCCCTCAGCCAGCCCCTACCCCGAGGCTGTGGAGTTCCAGCGCCGGAGTCTGCCCATTTTCCAGGCGCGCGGGCAACTGTTGGCCCAGCTCCGAAACCTGGACAGCGCCATCCTCATCGGTGAGTGGCCTCGCGGATAGGTCCTTCCCTGTTCTCGGTTCCTGGCTCTGCGAGCACAGTTTTTCTTAGGTGCCTCTCACCCTCTTTCATTTGCTCCTACAACGAACCTAACCGCCTTTTCTGGGCCAGGCCCCGAGCGGGGCCGCGGAGTCGTATAGCCCTGCTCGGGAGGTGCTCACAGCCGGGTGGGAGTGAACGAGGTGTTAGGCAGAGAGACTCACCTTCAGTGTGAAAGGGTGGAAGGGCATACCGGGAACTTTGGGAACTTAGGAGGGTGAACTGAGCCTGTACGGGAGCAGGCGGCGGGGGAGGTGCTTCCCTGCTTCCCAAGGCGCTGGGAGAGCCTGCTGCGTGAGAGACGAAGTGGAGGCGAGAAACAGTTCGGTCTGCCGGGAAGTACAATAGTAGTTCCTGGTGCATGAACTAAAAGGCGGAGCTGTGAATTGGCAACTGATTATAAGGAGCTGTGATCGCCAACGTTTAAGTCAGGAGCTTCTGAAAGACCGAGGGGATGAGCCTCCAAAGAGGGGAAGGAGACCCAGAAGAACCTATAGTCAGGAATTTCAAAGTTACAAGAAGAAGGGAGTGAACAGATGCAACAGTGAGGTCCAGGAATACATGGACCCCAAAAATGCCCACTGGGCTTCATTGTGCATCCCACTGAGTTCTGTTTCAGCCCAGCTGTGGGTAGGAGCTGATTTGTCACTGGACTGAGGAATAAGTAAGAGGTGAGGGAATGAAGGTAGTGGGAGCAGGTTTCGGTTTTGAGGAAAAAAAGAGGGTGCTGAGAGGAACTTGCAAGTATGTCAATAGAATGAGTAGAAGAACTCAATAGGGAGGGAGGCTGAAGATGGAAAGTGGGCACTAATAGAGCTGAGGTCAGGGGGCATGGGCAAGGGGGGCACTTGGCAACAAGGGCTGGAAGCAGAATTGTTCTTTAATGCAATGAAGGATGTCCAAGAGGCTGGGGGACTGGAGAAAGGAGGTGAGAGTGGGTGTGACTGCAGAAAAGCTTACAAGGGGAGGTAGAGATCACATTTAAGGACTTCTCTTTTTCTATGCAATAGGTGCAGGAGCTCTGCTGAGAAGGGGAGTTTCAGGGCCTCAAGGAGGCCATTGGGGAGGATGAGGGCAGAGGACAGGCTGCAAAAGCAAGAAAAGGATCAATGTTAGTGCTGGTGCCCAGGGACATTTGGCCCCACTATAAACGCAGGTCCTCATCTGCACAGTTGGGTCATTTTGTTGTATTAGTGCTCAGTTTCCTGAGATAGGAGCAGAAGAGATGGACAGGGAGACATTGATCCGAGTTTGGAGTTTTGCCTGGTGGATTCAGCAGGAGGAGTGCAGAATAACCAAATTCTTAGTCTGTGATCTTGACTAAAACTGGAAGAATGAGCAGTCAGAGGGGGGAAAATGGAAGAATAATGGGACTGTAGGAATATGAGGTCAAAGAGGTGTAGTTGTAGCAAAGAGGGAAAAGATGTGCAGGTTCTCAGCAGGTACTGCTAAAGGAACCCATGAGGGAGAAGATAACATTGGGTGCTTACTATATGCAGGATGCTCAAGTACATGGAAGACACAAGCAGCCCTCTGCCCTCCAGAAGCTTCTAGGATTGGAGGAGGATAGAAACATTTAAATACTTCCCGACACTGTGGGGTGGTCAGCTGGCAGGGGGATGAACAAGGCACTACGGAGCACAGTGGAGGCTGCCAGCGCAGCCCCAGAGGAGAGAGTTTAGGTCTAACGCATGCTGTAGAGTTCTTCAGGATGAGAGCTGGGGCAAAGGCAGAGACTAGGGAATGGTGAGGAGTTTGTTATGGCTGCTGTGTATGAATGGATGCCCCTGTCAGAACATATAAATCTCACTTATTTTTTTGAAAAGTACAACATTGTATTTCATTTCATGTTTTTACTATACCTATTGTTGAGCATTTATATTGTTTCCAGTATCTTGCTTTCGTGAATGAAGTAGAATAAAACATCTTTGAAGCTATATATTTATGTGCATCTTTAATTATTTCCTTAGAATCAGTTCCTGCAGGTGGAATTGTAGGTCAAAGGGTATAAACATTTTAAAGATTTTTCTGATAAATTTGGCCTTCTGAGACTCAATTCCAATAAACACCACCAACAGTGTTTGTGAGGATTGGGTTTCTTGTGACTGTGTCAACTTAGAACATTTTCTTTTATCTTTTTCTTGTGACTTTGATACATTTGTTTGGTGAAATTTGTTTCAATGTGCATTTAGATGAGACTTTTTTTTCCTAGGGGAAACTGGCTCTGGGAAGACGACTCAGATCCCTCAGTACCTCTACGAAGGGGGGATTGGCCGCCAGGGCGTCATTGCTGTGACCCAGCCTCGTCGCGTGGCTGCCATCTCTCTTGCTACTAGAGTCTCAGATGAGAAGGGAACTGAACTTGGGAAGCTGGTACCTAATTTCCTTCTTTACAAACGTTTCTCCCTTCCTGCCATTTATTTTTCTGAACAGGCTTTCTTATACATAGTGAGCTTCTTTCTTGCCATAATCATGTAGACCTATCTCATAGTTCTTTACCAGTTCCTAAGAGATCAGAGGGTCTGATGGGCTATCAGTCTGATTTGCTTTGCTTTCAAAATTTATTGGCAAGTTGGATAAATTAGTTGTTTTCCTCGAGCATTTTTTAAAAATTTCATTTATCAATTTTTAGAGAAAGAGGGAGACATCGATTTTGTTGTTCTGCTTATCAGTGCCTTCATTGGTTCCTTCTTGTTTGTGCCCTGACCAGGGATCGAACCCTCAATCTTGGCGTATTGGGACAATGCTCTAACCCACTGAGCTATCAGGCCAGGGTTTTCTTGAGTGTTTTTAAGGCTTTAGTAATCTCTGTTAAATCTCTTGTGTCTTTCTAGAAAAATTGTAAGCATTTTCTAGCATATATGTGGGTATTGAGAATGAGTCCCACCCAGACCTGTATATGTCAGATTTATTTGTGAATATGTGTGTGTTTATGCATTTTACTTAAAAACATCTTAGACATCTCTTCATATTTGTACATAGCTTCACTTGAAACTATTACATAGCTGGAAGTAGGAGGCTAGTTTTAAATTCTTGGTCATGCTCATTATAATTGCAGTTAAAGGAGCATGTCCACAGTCTGTGTCAGCTACTAGACTGCTTGCTGACAGGGAGCAAGGCAGGGTCGATGTTGGTCTTGTTCACCATGGTAGTGCAAGTGCCTGGCACAGCACTGGTTACATAGTGGGTGTTCAACACATGTCTGATGAATGAATGATTTCTCCACACAGGTTGGCTATACAGTGCGCTTTGATGATGTCACCTCAGAAGACACCAGGATCAAGTTCCTGACAGACGGCATGCTTCTGCGAGAAGCAATTTCAGACTCCCTGCTTCGGAAGTACAGCTGTGTCATTTTGGATGAAGCCCACGAAAGGACTATCCACACAGATGTGCTCTTTGGAGTGGTAAAAGCTGCTCAAAAGAGACGAAAGGAGCTGGGGAAACTGCCACTCAAGGTAGGTGTAGCACGTGCGAGGAAAGGGGCCTGCATTTCTTCCTAAGCATGTTCTCCTGCACCCCTTCTGCTTCAGAGTCATGGACAGAGTTAACCATAATGGGAGCGGCACAGGCTTCTTCACCTGCTTTCAGATCTTGGGAGGGACAAAGAATGGTTGTTGCAGTGTTTGTTTCCCACCTTCGTCTTCCCTCTCATACCTAGGTGGTTGTGATGTCAGCTACAATGGATGTGGACCTGTTCTCTCAGTACTTCAATGGAGCCCCTGTCCTCTACTTGGAGGGTCGGCAGCATCCAATCCAGATTTTTTACACGAAACAACCTCAGCCAGATTATCTGCACGCAGCACTTGTCTCAGTCTTCCAGATTCACCAGGTATGGGGTGGGGTGCTGATTCCTGAAAAGGTCTGTTTTACCTGACAGTAGAGTATTCAGCCTTGGAAAGAAAAGCTACTGAATGAAACAGTTTAATGAACCATGCCATTAAGATGAGTCGGGAATTCCTTTTCCATGTCTGGGTTTTTATCCTTTTTCAGTGTCTCTTATTTTCTCTAAAAATAATTTAATTCTAACTGGCATCTTTCCTCAGCTAAGCCAGAAAACTTCTATATGTGAGAACAGTGGCTTACAAACTTTTTTTTTATCATAACCCCCTGTAAGAACCACCCAGTACACTGAAGTTAGTCTTACAAAACACTGCCTTTTTTGCTACACGTGAGGTTTTCTGGTATTTCTACCTCATATTAAAAAAATGAGTTGGACCCTGGCTGGTGTGGCTCAGTGGGTTGAGGGCCAGCCTGCTAACTGAAACGTTACTGGTTCAATTCCTGGTCAGGGCACATGCCTGGGTTGAGGGCCCAGTCCCTGGTTGGGGATGTGTGAGAGGCAGTCAGACAATGATTTTCTCGCACATCGATGTTTCTTTCCCTTCCCCCTCTCCAAAAAATAAATCTTTAAAAAAAGGTTTGTATTGACTCAATAATTTTAGAATTTTCTTTAAAAAGAAAAAAACCTGTATTACAGAAATATTTCAAAATCTCCTCTTATTTTATTAAACATTTACTTAAAATTTGAGCGAGTAAATCACCTCAGTTTTGTTTAATTTGTGTAAAATTGACTGTTTTTACCTTCCCTTTAGCTTTCTAAAAAATCTAGAGGCATACTTTTTAAAATTAATTTTATTTATTTATTTATTTATTTTTAGAGAGGGGGGAAGGGAGGGAGAAAGAGAGGGTGAGAAACATCAATGTGCAGTTGCCTCTTGCGCACCCCCTACTTGGGACCTGGCCAACAGCTCAGGCACATGCCCTGATTGGGCATCGAACCAGAGACACTTTGGTTTACAGGCCAGCATTCAATCCACTGAGCCACATCAGCCAGGGCTAAAATTCATTTTTTTTTTAACCTAAGAAATGCACATGCAGTTTGAAGTTTAAAGATTTAAGTGGTTAATTCTAAAAGGCTCATAAAAAAAAAAACCAGTTACTTTTACTTCCTCATCCCAGATCCTGCTCTTTAGAGTAACCACTTTCAATTTTCTAGCTATTTCCCCTGAATATTACCTTAGTTTTTCCAAAATAACCTGTTGATGTTGATATTAGGCATTATGTGTTAATTCCTTATCATGGTAGATGAGGATTTAGAAATACTCCTCCCCTACCTCTTGCATCTCTCCTTTATCCCTCAAAATAGTTATATCACAATGTTTTTTAAATCAATTATCAGTATTTACAATATTGTGTCCCTACATTGCTAGCAGTGCCTTGTTCCTGGTACACACAGTTGTATGTTTCCTATGTATGTATGGCTAATTTTGCCCTAAGTGTTCCAAAGTCTGTCATATGCCAATCATGAATATTTGTTATGTGTTCAGACCTATTGCACTTTTCCCAGAGTCCTTTATGCTGCTTTTCTATTCAGAATAGCTTGCTCTCCTGGGCTGCTGTGTAGTTGTCGTCCTGGCTCTTCCCTTTGCCATCCTCCTGTGTTGAATCCCATTACTGCACCTCGTGTCTTCCCTGCCACCTGCCACCTGTATCGGGTCGAGAGTGGGCCTAGGAGCTTTAACCACACTATGCTCAGACTTTGAGCCAATCCCTTGGATATTCACCCTCCCACAACCCACCTTTGCATTGCACCCAAGTCCTGAGCCTTTCTGGCTTCTCCAGGGAAATTGGTACGTCTCTAGTCACTATTCTCTTTAGCCAGCAGCCAGGATGGAATCCCCCCTGCCCAGCCAAGTCATTCACACCCTCCACCCTCTCTTTCACCTTTCAGAAATGGGTTGATACTTCTATCCTTTTCTTCTGTTGTCTTTGTCTTCCTGGGCTCATACCTTTATTGTCATCTTGATAGTATTTGAAGAAGGTCAATCTGCCTTGTTTAACTTACTACCAAAAGCCAACTTGAGGTGAGGCTTTTTCATGAATGATGGCTTTAATGAATCCTCCCACTGATGATGTTTTGAGACTGTTTTAGATCGTATCCTGCCTGTGTGTACCTCTGAAGATTTTTCCTGTTGCTGCTGGACTAAAAATATATGTATATATTTACATATATACATATACTCATTACTATTAAACATTTTTAAATTATTTTGTCATCAAAATAAATACATACAAAACAAAACAAGCACTTTACAAATACTTCTGAACAAACTTCAAAGAAAGATTAGGTAAATGAGTGTGTTAACACTTGGCTGTTCTTCCATTTGCAATAGTAATCCCACTTTAACTTTTTTATAGGAAGCCCCTTCTTCTCAGGACATCCTGGTGTTCCTCACTGGTCAGGAGGAAATTGAAGCAATGAGCAAGACCTGCCGAGACATTGCAAAGCACCTTCCAGATGGCTGCCCCTCCATGCTGGTCCTTCCTCTGTACGCCTCCTTGCCCTATGCCCAGCAGCTCCGTGTCTTCCAGGGGACCCCAAAGGTGAGTGCACCACCTTCTCTGTCCAGCCTTCTCCCTGGGGTCCTGTGGGTATGCCTGTCACCAGACTCCAGATATGGACTATACAGGACAGGGTGCTCAGGCACCATATACATTGTTGAAAAGCTGCAGGAATATAATACGTAGCTACAGATGCAACTTGCTCATGGTAAGAACAAGGAAACGGTTGTTGGGATGAAAGAGTGCACAGGCAAAAGCTAAAAGGCAAATGAGTGACTCTTGTAAGGTCCAGCATAACAAGCTGCATGTCTCCATGATGGCATTTATTGGGGGCCCGTACTGTGCCAGGCACTGTGCCGACATTTCATACACACTGTCTCTCAAGTTCTCAAGAAGTGGCAAGGTAGGTTATGGCCCCATTTATAAACACCGAGGCCCAGAGAAGTGAAGTGACAGTTATTCAAAGGGCACACAGTAAGCATCTACCTGCATCTGGATCTTGTGTCTGTCCCGCTATATCTCGTTGCCTCAAAATGAGCTTTTAAGATAGGAACAGCCCCTCTCTCCCACCCAGTTTAATGACCATCAATATTAATAATTGTCATTAATAAGAGTCATCTTTTCTTGATCGTGAATGAATTATGGAAGTTAATGGTGAGGAATATGTTTTAAAACTTCTGAATCATATGTGTGTCATACAGCTTTTTGGTTTTCTTCCTCCTTTTAGGGCTATCGCAAAGTGATCATTTCAACCAACATCGCTGAAACCTCCATAACCATTACAGGAATAAAATATGTAGTTGACACGGGCATGGTTAAAGCAAAGAAGTATAACCCTGGTGAGAATTTGTAGCTCATGATGTCTCTTCTGTGTGTCGTGAGCAACCATGGAGTTTCCTGAAGTCCCACAGCTTCCCCACAATGGGCATTTCGTGTTTGGGACTAACTGAGATTTGGGTGGCAGGCACCAAAAGTGAGACTGTCCAGAAGCAGGTCCAGGAAGGAGACCTGAGGCAGGAACGTGAGGCAGGAAGGCAGGGTAGAAAGAGAAGGTGAGGTTTAACAAGCTTGGGAGCACAGAGGCTCAGGAACAAGGTCCGAAACCCTGTCAGCAGTTGGGTGAGAATGGTGGCAGCCGGATCCCACATCAAAGGCTCTCATCAGAAGTCATATTTGAGCGTGGCCGGGTCGAGCTCCAGGTTTCCCTGATTCCCTAGGCTGGGTGAGGTGCACTAGCTGTTTCCTGAGAATGTTCAGTGGGACACTTGCTTCAGTCATTGTTCTTCACGTCTGTTTTGTGCCTTGCTTTGTTCTACAGAACAAATTAAGGCAGCTGAAATTATCACTGCCATATATTTAATTGAAATGCACTACTCTTAGAACATTTAAAAGGGCTTGGCTCTCCAGTGCCTGGCACAGAGTACACCTTTATCCAGAAAATTTGTCTCATTTACTCCTAGGAGTAACAGTATCAAATTGTCTCTCTTCTGTGGCAGAGGTGGAAGGGAGGATACAGTGTACAACGACTGGAGACATCTCATTTCCGAGCCATTGATGGATAGGGTGACAGCCATCCTGCTTTGCCAGAGACTGTGCTGGTTTTATCACTGAAAGTCCCAAGTCCTGGACCAGCAGGGGTGCTTGTCACCCTATGTTCTGAACCAGAGATCTGAAATTTGCTCTCCTGGCCCCCTGCTATAAGCATAAAGTTTTTCTGATGTTGTAATAACAGATTTCACACAGTCCGCTACAAGGCCTCGTTTTACTGCAAAACAGTCTGGTTTTGTGCTTTCCAGTTTAGCCTTGAGTTTTTCGGGGCTCGTGTATTCCAGAAAGGATCACTGATGTTCTAAGGAATGCTTCGTTTTGTCCACACTGTGGAAACAGCTTATGTGATGAGAGAGGCACTGATATGGGCCCTTCTCCCTCCAGACAGTGGCCTGGAAGTGTTAGCTGTGCAGCGGGTGTCAAAGACCCAGGCATGGCAACGCACAGGACGTGCTGGCAGAGAGGACAGTGGCATCTGTTACCGGCTATACACAGAGGATGAGTTTGAGAAGTTTGAGAAGATGACCGTGCCGGAGATCCAAAGGTGGGCCCAAGGTGCCCCCGCACCCCTGCCATCTGTCCCCCCATCTCCCTTTCCTGCTTGCTGAGGTCTTCCCAGAGCTGCAGTTCTAACACTCCTCAGTGGATGGCTCTGACCCACTGGCTAGAGGACCAAGGCGAGTGAACAGCGCACATCCCTCACTCTTTGTAGGTGTAACCTGGCGAGCGTGATGCTGCAGCTGCTAGCAATGAAAGTCCCCAACGTGCTCACCTTTGACTTCATGTCCAAACCGTCTCCTGGTGAGTAGACTCTTCAGTGGAGTGGACAGTATACAAGTAGGCAAACAACAGCAAATGGACTCTCAAAAGCATTTTACAGGTCTCCTTTGGTTTAATTTGGTGAACAACACTGATTGTGAGAAGTGTCTCAGAATCATGAAAGGACAGATTCAGAGCCATTAGCACCTTCCCAGGGCAGAAACAGTGGCTTCCTAGAGGGGCTCCCAGTTGGTTCCTGGGCCACAGAAACTTTTGAAAGTGGTTGAGGGAGTCCAAGGGTTATGCAGAGATTGTACTTCTGCCAACCAAGGACTGAAAAGGTCAAGTTTCTTTGCTTTTGATTAGAGTTTGATCAGTTCCTCTCCTTCACTGATCTCTCCATAAGGAAAAAGTAATTGGGATCTTTCTAATGATGGTACCTCAGCATTTGACATCTCTTCAACATATGATTTTCCTTTTCTTCTTTTCCTCTCTCCTTATTAAGTGAAGAAATTCAATTTTCTTTTTTTTCTTTCTTTACTTTTAGAGACAGGGGAAGGAAGGGAGAAAGAGAGGGAAAGAAACATCATTGTGTGGTTGCCCCTCATGTGCCTACAACTGGGGACCTGGCCCTCAACCCAGGCATGTGCCCTGACTGGGAATTGAACCAGCAACCCTTTGGTTCACAGAAGCACTCAGTCCACAGAGCCACACTGGCCAGGCCTCAATTTTCTTTTAAAGTAAAAATTGATGAGTATACGAGGGTCCCACCCCTGATCTTCAGGTTCTTAGTTTTCCATCCCTAAAATAACTCCATGACCATGTTCTAGTTGCCTTCTAGAGAAAATACGCATATGCAAGTATATATAGTTTTACAATGCTTACAGCAATACATACTGTGCACTGTTCTATTTTTTTCCAGGTTTTTTTTTTGTGATATAATGACATACTGTGTTTTTCAGACCATAAGACACACCTAGGTTTTAGAGGAGGAAAATAGGAAAAAAAATTTTGATGCAAAAAATGTGGTAAAATATTTATTAACATAAATAACATATTTCACCAATGTAAATGTAAACAGAACTCAACAGCAGCATTAACAACCATCATTTCTCCCAAATTTGGGGGCGGGGAGAGGAGGCATCTTATAGTATGAAAAATACAGTATGCATCACTGGATAAGTTAAGGTAACTAGCATAGTAATTAGCATTACAATGAGTATGAAATAATTACCTCTTATAAGTTTAGTTAGCATCCATCCTCTCATATAGATATAATAAAAAAGAGAAAGCAAAAAAGAAAAACACTATTTTTTTTTCATTGCTCAATTCCTGCACACAAAGGAAGAACACACATGTAAGGTAGAGGGAGCAGTAAAACCAACACTTGTGGGCCCCTCACAGCGGCCTGGACTCCTCCCTTCCGCACGCGATTCCTTCCCACTCCCTCAGGTAACCACCCTCCCACCTGCATTTATAGTTCCCTTGCTTTTCGATACTGTGTTACTCTTTGGATGTGTATCCCAGAACAACATGTTGTTTTCATGTGCATGTTTTGGTGTCATTCTTCAGTAACTTTCCGTTTTCGTTCATTCTGTTTTGTCAGGTTTACTTGTGTTGGTGTGTTTCCAGCACTGAATGCCGTTCCATTCTATGAGTAAAGTAAATGCACTTTGCCATCTTCCTGTTGACTGAGACATTTGCACATTGCTCTTTGCACCTGATATACTTTACAAATTGTTTCTTCTTAGTATGTATACATTTATTATATCATAGGAGTGCTTTTTTATTCCTTAATAGGCGATGTACTTACATGGTTCTAAATTCAAAAAGCATAAAAGAGTGACTAGTGAGCAGTGGCCCTCTCGCCAGGGGTCCCTGGTGTGTCCATGGCTGTGAGTGCGTTTCTGAAGATACAGGTCCCTGTCCTTTGTATGAGCTCATCTGTGGGTGAATTCTTTTCTATTTATTTATTTAAAATTTTTTCTTTGTGGGTGAAATTCTTAAGTGAGACATTGCTGTGTTTGAAATTTACATGCACATTGCCAAGTTATAGACCATTCTTTCAAAAAGGAATTGAACTGAAGACAGTGCTGTGTCATTAACAGCTTTGAAAGTATGTTGGGGTCAGTGGTCATTGTGATCTTTGCTGTCGTTTGATCAGTTGTCAAGTTATCAGAAGCTCCCAGAAGCACTGAACTACTTGCAGCTTCTTTCTTTGATTTTTGGCTCCTTTTTATGACTCTTTTTCTTCAGATCATGTTCAGGCGGCCATTGTCCAACTGGACCTGTTGGGTGCTCTTGAACGTAAGGACGACCAGCTTACCCTGACTCCAGTTGGAAGAAAGATGGCAGCATTTCCTTTAGAACCCAAATTTGCCAAAGTAAATGATACCCTCTCTTCAGTCCCCTTTCTGTATATTACAGGTTAGCCATCCCAAAGTAGACTTCTAAACCCAGTGCTTCTAGATTAATCTTCACTATTGTCCTACATAATTATCCACTCTAATTTTGTGTCTAACACTGATTTATGTTCTGTGTGGGATTAGAACTCATATTAAATTATGAGCCCTACCCACAAGGAATTGGGAGTCCTTCGGGAAAGGCGATTGTTTGTTTTACAAAAAAGTCAAGTAACATTAATGCATAGTCATGGTTTTAGAAACATCTTCCCTTTAACACCTTAGAAAGGAAGCTGCAAATGCAATATACAGAAACACTGTTCAGAAGCTAGGAAGAATTTTGGTTAATGTGGTTATAATTTCAATTTGCAGACCATCCTCCTGTCCCCCAAATTCCACTGTACGGAGGAGATACTGACCATCGTCTCCCTGCTGTCTGTGGACAGTGTTCTCTACAACCCTCCCTCCCGGCGGGATGAAGTGCAGGGTGTCCGGAAGAAGTTCATATCCAGCGAGGGCGACCACATTACCCTGCTCAATATCTACCGGACCTTCAAAAACATAGGCGGAAATAAGGTAGCCTTGTGTTATTCCTTTTCTCAAGTGATATCTCTTTTTAGGCGTGTGGGCCTTCCTTTTTGGCTGAATCATCTAAAGAGCCACAAAAAGAATGTCAGATGTCATTTCAGAGACATCTGCATACGGGGACAGTACCAGAGAGAAATGTGATTCCTGCCTTTCACTCTGCTTGTGTTTAACTCATACTTAATGTGGGCAAGTTAGTTCAGTACTTAGTGACCAGTCTCTTAGCTACAAAATGGGTTTTTCCCCACCTGCCCTTGTCTTTGTAGTACTTTTTTTACTTGTATGACAATTCAGTTCTTTGGACCAAGATGGAAAACGGCGATATATTGTTTCATTTATCAGTATAGTCAGTAATTGTGCCATAGTGTATGTACTTTAACTTTGCATTTTAATGCAGTTAATTAAAGAAAAAAAGCCACCACCCACTTTTTGCAGTTGTGAGCATTTTGTTCTATTTGTCTCTTCCTGTGGAACCACTGTCCAGATGTGGAAGTGTGTTTCCATGGGTGAGAGCATCCTTTCGCTTCATTGGGTACTGCAGCTGTTTTCTTCCACGGCCCTGTGGCAGCCTGTTTGCACTTCCAGCACTACAGTGAACACCTGTGCAGGTTTCCTTGCGCACAAGGGGGAGCATTTCCTGGGGACCGACACGCAGAAGAGAGCCTGCTGGTCTTGGGTAGCTGCATCCAGCTTTACCGGGCTAGCATGTGGCTCCCCAAAGTTGTCAGCACCTCTATACTTCCTGTATAAGAGTTTCCATTTCCACACCCATCTCCAATGCTTAGTTGGAGGATGGATGTGAAATAGTATCTCAGCTGTTTAAGTTACTTCACCTTGATTCCTCAAGAGACTGAGAATGCTTACGTAAGTGCATTGGTTACTGGTGATTTCTGGTACATCTTCTGTGAGTTGTCTCTTCATAGCCTTTGTCCATTTTCTACTGGATTGTTGGAGTTTTTCTTACTGATTTGTAGGAAGTTTATATTTTAGTATATTCTGGAGGTATTTACCTTTATTAGGTATAGTGATGCAGACCTCTTAGTCTGTAGCATTTTCATGGTGACTTGATATAGGAAAATTTTTAGTTTTATTTGTGTTTAAATTATTGATCTTTTTCCTTATGATTTATGCTTTTTTAAAAGATATTTGTCTGTATTTGTGGCAACTGAAGTTTTCCCTCCAGATTCAACTATGTTCTAAAAATTGTTGTTTTCACTATAGAAATGACAGGATTGTGATCTCTTTTTCTCCTATTCAGGACTGGTGCAAAGAGAATTTTATCAACAGCAAGAATATGATGCTAGTAGCTGAAGTCAGAGCACAGCTAAGAGATATCTGCTTAAAGGTATTCTTTCTTTCTATTCGTTCTCTGGGGGACTAAGCTGTCACTTTTCTCTAGGTGAAAAAATTTTAATTGCTTATACTAGTGATTACAAAAGAAACTCTTCTTGCAGGAAAATTTAAAAGTAAGAAAGTAAAAATTACCCACAATTCTACCTTACCATTTTGGTCCGTTTCCTTATAGCCCTGCTTTTAAATGACTTTTACATATTTAGTTACATTGTATATAATTTATATCCAGGTTCTGTAAACTTTAAAAATATTTTACAATGTTACGAGAATTTATCCTAAGATTGTTTTCTTTTCTTCTTTTTTTTTTAGATTTTTATGTTTAGAGAGAGGGGAGGGAAAGGAGAGAAACATCAGTGTGTGGTTGCCTCTCATGTGTCCCGTACTGGGGACCTGGCCTACAGCCTAGGCATGTGCCCTGACTGGGAATCGAACTGGTAACCCTTTGCTTCACAGGCCCATGCTCAATCCACTGAGCTACACCAGCCAGGGCTTGTCCTAAGATTTTTTTAAAATATATTTTATTGATTATGCTATTACAGTTGTTCCATAATCCCCCCCCTTCATTCCCCTCCACCCTTCACACCCTCTCCCACCCACATTCCCCCACTTTAGTTCATGTCCATGTGTCATAAGTTCTTTAGCTTCTACATTTCCCATACTATTCTTGCCCTCCCCCTGTCTATTTTCTACCTACCATTTATACTACTTATTCTCTGTACCTTTTCCCCCTCTCTTCTCTCACTCCCTTGTTGCTAACCCTCCATGTGATTCTCCATTTCTGTGGTTCTGTTTCTGTTCTAGTTGTTTGCTTGGTTCCTTTTTGTTTTTGTTTTTGGTGTGATTGTTAATAATTGTGAGTTTGCTGTCATTTTTTACTATACAAGTTTTTTATCTTCTTTTTCTTAGATAAGTCTCTTTAACATTTCATAAAATAAGGACTTGGTGATGATGAACTCCTTTAACTTGACCTTATCTGAGAAGCACTTTATCTGCCCTTCCATTCTGAATGAAAGCTTTGCTGGATAGAGCAATCTTGGATGTAGATCCTTGACTTTTGTGACTTCAAATACTTCTTTCCAGCCCCTTCTTGCCTGCAAGGTCTCTTTTGAGAAATCAGCTGACAGTCTGATGGGAACTCTTTTGTAGGTTACTGTTTTCTTATCTCTTGCTGCTTCTAGGATTCTCTCCCTCATTTTTATCTTGGCTAATGTAAGTATGATGTGCCTTGGTGTGTTCCTCCTTGGGTCCAAGTTCTTTGGGACTCTCTGAGCTTCCCGGACTTCCTGGAAATCTATTTCCTTTCCAGATTGGGGAAGTTCTCCTTTATTATTTGTTCAGATAACTTTTCCACTTGTTGCTCTTCCTTTTCCCCTTCTGGTACCCCTATAATTCGGATGTTGGAACGTTTAAAGTTGTCCCAGAGGTTCCTAAGCCTCTCCTCATTTTTTTTAATTCTTGTTCTTTTCTGTTTGGTTGTTTTCTTTCTTCCTTCTGGTCTACTCCATTGATTTGAGTTCATTTTCTTCCCATCACTATTGGTTCCCTGTGCATTTTCCTTCATTTCACTTATCATAGCCTTCATTTTTTTCATCTAATTTGTGACCAAATTCAACCAATTCTGTGAGCATCCTGATTACCAGTGCTTTGAACTGTGCATCTGCTAGATTGGCTGTCTCTTGGTCGCTTAGTTGTATTTGCTGTGGAGCTTTGATCTGTCTTCCATTTGAGTCATTTTTTTTGTCTTGTCATGTCTGTTATGTATGAGGGGCGGAACCTTAGGTGTTCACCAGGGCAGGGCAACCCAGTCGCTGGGTTGTGACGCTGTATGTGGGGGCAGGGTCCGAGAGGGAACAATGGCACTTGCTCTGCTCTCCCTCGGACTTCAGTCCGTTCCACCTCTTCCCCCAAGCATACTGGGCCTTTCTGGCGCTAATTCCCACGTGTGTGGGCTTGTGCACGTTCTAGGACCCCATGGGTGTCTTCAACACATTCTCCTGTGAGGCTGGGAGTCTCGCCTTGCGCCTCAACCCCCACAGGTGTTTTTAATTAGTGTTCTATTTCCCAAGGTTCTATATCCCCGAGGTGCGCTGGGGCCCTGGGTTGTGCGCAGTGCCTTGCTTCACAATCTCTGCCTTGCTGGGTCTGCTAGTTGCCACCCTGAGCCTGGGGTCTGCCAGCCACCACCTGTGTGCCCAGGGTTCACCTGCTGCGGCAGCCTTGCATGCCCGGGGTGCCTTATGTGCCTGTCCCCACCACTCTTTGTGCTGTGACCCCTCTCCACCCAGCTGCCTGACTCCGCCCCTTCTGCAGGTCTGGATGAACATGTCTATTTTAACTCCTTGGTTGTCCGACTTCCATACAGATCAATTTTCTGTCAGTTCTGGTTGTTATACTGTTTCTAGATTGTTGTCCCTATCTTGGTTGTGCAAGGAGGCACACTGTGTCTACCTACACCTCCATCCTGGTCAGAAGTTCCAGGTTTTTTGAAGTAGGAATATGTTTATTATTTTTAGGTTACATAAGTAGTACATAATTATTACAAATTGATACAATGTAGAAAATATTGATCTATAATATAGAAAATTTCAGTCTCCCTTAGTCCTGCCCGTCAAAAGATAAATCTCTATGAACAGTCTGCTGTAAATCCTTCTAGGATTTTTTTCCTGTGTGTATGTACATACACATGGATACATATATAAAATTTTCTTCAGAAAATAAATATGAGCCCAGGCCAGGTAGCTCAGTTGGTTAGTGTCGTCCTGATGCACCAAGGTTATAGATTCGATCCCTGGTCAGGGCACATACAAGAATCAACCAATGAATGTATAAATAAGTGGAACAACACATCAATGTTTCTCTCTCTCTCTAAAATCAATCAATAAATTTTTTAAAAAATACGATACACGTTTTCTTTGTAGCTCGCTTTTCCCACTTAGTAGACTTTTTGAATACTTAATGGGTCTGGGCTGTCTTTCACTGTCTGTATGTGTATCTCCTTCTTTTTAGTGACCTTATAGCATTTCGTTGTATCCACTACACTTAACTATGCCCCTAGTGGTGGTGATGTAGGTTCTGCCATAATGCCCATCCTCCTACATAGTATATATGTGTGGCCTGGTACGCACAGAATGAATAGTGAATTCATGGATGGTGAATTTAGGTCTTGATAGTTATTTTGCCAAATCATCGACCAGAAAGTTTTTTGTTAGCTTATTTTCCCTCTTAGAGGGCATGATTGCATGACACTCTACATTTGACCTCGGAGGTGGAGGAGGGGAGCTTATGTCATCATCTCCTGTTGTTGAGCACGGAAGTGTCCACTGTTTGCTGTCATAACAACTCTGGTGAATGTGTGTGGGTGTCAGGCCTCTTCTGAGACAGCCCCGCAGTGCAGACTCTGCACGTTGCTGGGAGACTTGTCACCTGTACTGATGCCAATGGCCTGTTGTTAACACTAAAGCTATTTCTTTTCATAGTAGCCTGATGTGTTCTGATTTTACACATTTTTCCAAACCCCTCTTGCACTCAAATAGTGTTCCTGCCAGATCATGTCAGCTTCGTGAGTTTTCTCAGTTTATTAATGACAGTAGAAATGGTGCTTCTCAGTTAGTTCTGACTTTAGAAGCTTCAGTGGTTGCCAGGCCTCTTTACATGCCAGATACTGGTCAAAGTCCTGGAGTCTTACAGACCCACCATTCTAAACACTTTTCATGCAATTGCCATATTTCTAATCTTCACTTCCTCCCTATGAGGTCAATTCTGTTACTATTCCCATTTTACCAGTGATGAAAGTAGAGCCTAAGGAAGTTAAGTAAGTTGCCCCAAATCACCCAGCCGGTGAGTGGTACAGCTGGCAGCCAGCAAGGAGACACCAGTTAGCTGTAGGGCCCTGGGCTTCCTGGAGGTGGTGATACTGAGCTACTAAAAGATGAGGAGTTAGTGTCTTCCTCAGACCAGAATCAGCTGATTGCAAAGAACAAAACACCCTGAACCACCTTAAAAGGGAAAAGGAATGGGGGCATCTCTGGGAACCTACAGGCAAGAAATAATCCAGCCCCACAGGAACTGGAATGAAGAACCAGAAAAGGACAGCAGGAGCAAAGGGAGCTTTCTCTGCTTAGCCTCTTGTTTTGGCTGCTTTCTGCGTGCTTCCTTCCCGCTTCTCACCTTCTGCCTTAGCACACAAAGTAAGGCTGCTTTCCCTAGCCTCACACTCAAGACACTAAGAGGGATTGCTCAGATTTCCCACACTCAGACCCCAAAGGCCTGGAAGTGAGCAACTGGCCTGTGCACTTCAGGCAAAACTGTACCACTGGTTGGTTCATCCATGGCCAGGGGTATAAGATGACCTGACCTGCTTAGCAGGGATAGTAAGTAGGGCCAGGAGACTGAGGGCTGACACTTCCACTGTGAAGCCAGCATGTGGCCTGTCCCCTGGCAGTGTACATGGGAAGGCACCATCATGTAATAGGCCTAGGAGAGAGAAAGTAGTTGAGTTTGGAGGACCCAGGATGCTCAGAGGGCTCATTCACAGCTTCACAGTTGGAAGCTCACATTGCTTTGCCAGGAGCAGTAGAGACAGTGAAGGCTTTACAGCGGGTGAGGAATGACTGGAGTTGTGCTATAGGAAGATTATTTGACAGCAGCACTGTGTGAGACGGATCGGAGAAGGAGACGATGACGTAGTCAAAGTCAGAGGGAAAGACCTTTCCTTCTGGGAACATCCTGGCAGATACTGCCACAAGGGGGGTAGGTGCTGAGTCACCTAACCTGTCTGTGGTTGGGCACCTCCTGTGCCCTTCTCCCTCCTGGACCCGACTCGCCCAGGCTGCAGTTTCCCTGTTTTCAGTCTGCCCTCCTTCACCTGTGCCTCTTCCCCTGCCCATGCTGGTCTCTTGATCTCTAAGGCATGTGAGAAAACCAGCCCTGACTGGCAACACCCACTTTGTCAGGCTTACAGTGGGGGCTGCATTGTAGGTGCAGTTGCTCTAAATACTGTGCAGTGCTGAGCAGCATTTATGTTTGGGGTCTTTTCCAATTCTCACTTCCTCCTGAAACAGATGTCAATGCCAATCATGTCATCCCGAGGGGACATGGAGAATGTCCGCCGCTGCCTGGCTCACAGCCTCTTCATGAGCACCGCTGAGCTTCAGCCGGACGGTACCTATGCCACCACAGACACTCACCAGCCAGTGGCCATCCACCCCTCGTCCGTCCTCTTCCACTGCAAGCCTGCCTGCGTCGTGTACACTGAACTGCTCCACACCAGCAAGTGCTACATGCGAGACCTCTGCGTGGTGGATGCCGAGTGGTTGTATGAGGCCGCCCCAGAGTATTTCCGGAGGAAGCTGAGAACCGCCAGAAACTGAGCCGCCCCAGGCCACTGCCCGAACTGCTGGGGCCTAGGAGCTGGGACCACAGCCATTCTCATAGCAGACTTCCCACCTGGTGCCTAGTGAGGTGGCAGGTTCTAATGTAGTGGAACATGCCCAACTTCCTGGAGCTCGTAGGCATCTTTCTTTAAATTCCTTAGACTGAACCATGTAGGCATGTACCACCATTTATACCTTTGAAACATCAAAATTATGCTTTTGGTTCTTGCTAGGTGACTTTGGGTGATATAGTTAACTTCTGAGCCTCAGTTTACTCATGTGCCAAATGGGGAAGGCAGTAAAACTTGTAGGGTTGGGGTGGTGAGGTTTAGAGAAAATGGAAGTGCCCAGAGCTGTGCAGCCCACAGTGAACATGCAACAAATTGCCGGCTTGGCGTTGCTGCCCTTTATATGACGTGAACTGAGCACAACAGAATGCCCCAGGTTCTCAAGGCTAAGGAGGACTTTCTAGAAGGGGGCCATAGGAGGTTGTAGAGCTCAGTTTTGCCCTTGGATCTATTTTAATGTCTGTCTAAGAAGTCTTTTAATAGAAAACCTAAGAGATCGACATCTACAGAAGTTTCAGGAGGGAGGTTCTATTGTCCTTACCTCATGGCCTGGCCACCCCAACGGAACCTCCTCAGGGAGTGGACTCCTGCCACCTCCAAGCAGAGGGCAGTGAAGGAGCACTTGCAAGCTGCTGAGCTGTGCATCTTCGGTCTTGGTGCTTCTGTGGCAGGTGTCCTCACCTATCCTTTCAGGAGACGTGGAGGTTTCCTGGGTGAAGGTTGATTTGTATCTTCTGAATCACGTCAAGTATAAACATGGGCAACTGACCTTGGAGGGCAAATGGCCTCCAGCATACTCAGTTAATATTTTCTCTGGAACTGGGTGCACATAAGTAAGTGAGTGTAAGGAATGACTCCGTGCTACATTTCAGCCATTTCTCTTCTGGCAGGGTCCCTGGTGGGGGCGGGGGACAGGGAGACAGAAGGTCCACGAGAACCAGACAGTATTGACTCATTCTGTCCACCACATCTGGTGTTTATATTCCAGCATCTTATTGTCTTGATCTTTTTCCTTCTCTGGAGACAATAAATATGGCTTTGTTAGCTCCTAACTCCACCAATCATCACTCTCTAACCCTTAGTTTCTACATTTCTCAAAGGGAATTAGAGGGTCTCCTCAATCTCTTCATATTCCCCCCCCCTTTTTTTTTTTGAGAAGGGAAAAAGACATCAAAGGTTCTCCTTAGATATTTAATTATCAAAGATAAATGAATGTCTTGTTCTAGAAGCAGCCAAGATTTAGCCCTTTTAATGTGCTTAATTGGTCTAAACACATGTGTAGTATTTTGGTCATTATGTAACAAAGTGAATCATGCAGTTTATGTGCAAAGGGCCAAACTCAGAGACCTTTCAGAAACAGTGGACAGTCTCTTCTCTCTGGATCCAGTGAACTGTGCTCCAGGACTAGCCTGCGGAAGCTCCCCACTCCAGGCCTCATCTCTCCAAATCTGTGTCTGCCAAGTCTGGCCCAGGCTTTCCAGCACTAGCTGTGGCCCTGAGAAGTTAAGCTTTTATCTAATGTTCAGGGCACTCGTGATTTAATTCTGTAGAAATGTTTATGTTTAGGACAAACAGGATTCAACAGATCCTATATACCCTATCTCAGCTATTTTCAACCTTTTTCATCTCATGGCACACATAAACTTATTACTAAAATTCTGCAGCACACCAAAAAATACATTTTTTGCTAATCTGACCAAAAAAATAGGTATAATTTTTTGTTGTGTTGGCTGTTGACATTTTTTTTATTTGACACCATAAGGAAAAGAGGTCAGTGTCCTGACTAAATAGGCATTGCATGTTTTAAAAATTCTTGCTCTGGACGGTGTGGCTCAGTGGATTCAGTGCTGGTCACGAGTTCAATTCCCAGTCGGGGCACATGCCTGGGATACAGGCCAGGTCCCCAGTGGGAAGTATGCAAGACACAACCACACATTGATGTTTCTGTCTCTCTCTTTCTCCCTTTCTTTCCCTCTCTAAAAATAAATAAAATCTTTTAAAAAAACAAACATGCTTGTTGCACACTGGTTGAAGATCGCTGCCCTATCATATTGAGTACTTCAACTTTTATCTGGTTCCTCAGATTGACTTGTTTTTACTGTTACTGACTTTCTGAAAAGTTTTTCAGGTGGTTTTTAAAATATATTTTTCTCATGTATTTAATAGAGGCCAAGGATGTTCAGCTTGACTTGATAAAAGAAAATACTGTATTTTTAATAAAAATTTCATCATGCTGGTAAAACATTGGGAATGGGGTGATTTATCATGTTCCTCAGCAAAATCTCTTTCTCTGGGGCAAGTAAAACTTAGAATAACTTGTGTCCAATTTAAGTTCCTAAAGAGTTTCTGGAAAATACATATTTTTCTGACCAGTAATGAGGGATAAATAGCTTTTAAGTAAATGTAAATAGCTTCTAATTAGCTTTAACATTTAATGTTTCTGTGCAGAAATATGTTTATCACTGTAACATTCTGGTAGAGTTTAAATACAATAGTTTTCTATTGGGCTTTTTAAAAAGTTAATTTTTAACATAGCTGCTCAGGGATTAAATCAGATTGGAAAACCCATTCTGAGTCCACACATATTGAGCTACAGGGGATAATACATTTTAAACTTAAACTTTCTTAAGAAAGTTAAATGTTTCACAATGATGTTGCAATATAATCTTGAGCTACTCTTTTTCAGTTGGCAAAGTCTCTAATGGTGTGACACCTCTTTCCCTCTGTGAAATCCATACCTGGTTGAGTCACTAGCTCCCATGGGCAGCTTCATGTAAATAGATGCACCCCAAGCAGATTGCATGTCTCAGGTGTTGGTTTTCTATTTCTTGTGATCCCGGAGTGTGGGACAGCCAGAGCAACAGATTTCATTGCAGGGAAAAAACTGTAGTGTTCTTTCCTTCTGACACCTGGTCCTTGTTAAGAACCCTTGCTTAAAGTTGCATCTCTGCTGGTTGTAAAGAGATTCCAGGATGGAGATGAGTTTTTGCTCTGTGGGGTAAGGTTTTTTGTACTGTAATACATAAATCCATTTAATCCAGCGGTCAAGAACTGCTTGGAACTGTGGCGAGGCAGCTAAGATACCATTCCGAGAGCATATATGGGAACACTGCACTTGTGGGGAGGCAAAGATTCCATTATGTTTTATTTTATTAAAATATAATTTACAGAGGGAAAAACAAGTTGGTTCAGGATTATGTTGTGTTTTGAGAATCTAGTTTTGTTCAAATAGACATAACTCTATAGAAACATCAGTTCCTGTATGTAATGCTCGAATTTGCACATGACTACCAATTCCATTAAAAGTGAATCTTATACATGATGTGTGACTTTCTTGCGTCTCCTTTTCCTTATTTACAGAATGCTCTTTGCAATATATTAACTATTAATCTTATCTTTGCCACTAATTGGGAAAGGCTTACTTTCTTGGTACCTCATACATCCTGTGTGTCCTGGTAAGGTAGGAACATCGGTTCTTAGCCTAAATCTGAGGTAAGTCTTGGCTTCTTACCTCGAGAAAAATGTTGCCCCATCAGAACCTGAGAGCAAGTTTGGAGGGTTATGGAGAGGGAAGGTCGCAGGCATTAACCAGAGTTGCTGCCTTTCAGGAACACCAGGGCTGGTGGGGTGAGTGGCGGCTGCCAGGTTAAGCCAGCAGTGCCAGGTTTCTCCAGAGAGAGGAATGAAGTGGAGGGGCGGGGTGAGGGGGTCGACCCTGTTCCTGTAACGTGTCTTGATCTTGAAGGGTGCTCTTTAGGTTGTTGGGGATGGCAAGAGTATTCCATGAAGTCACAGAAAGGGTGGTGTGCTTTGAGAACAGTAGATGGTAATTTGGAGAGTGTAAGCAGCCACTGGAGAGAAGTGATGCCGGCAAATTAGAAAGCCTTACTGCACACCATTCAGGCCTGCCTACTGGTCTATAAAAGCTCAGTTACTTGATTTGACCCCTCCCGCGGAAGCTGTGTAGGAGGCGCCCAGCAGGAGGCACTGTCCCGCCCGCAGTGCCTTTGACCTGCAGGCGACATTGCGGAAGCGCTTCCCTGGCGGTGGGCGGGACTTCCGGTGGTGAGCTCTGGAGAGCTCGTGGGTACCCCTCGGGTCGGATCGTCTTCACCTGCACGTGTGAGCCTCTGCTGCTGTCGCTTTCGGGATGCTGCCTCTGCTGCGCTGCGCGCCCCGCGCATTGGGTGCAGCCGTCGCCGGCCTCCGTGCCGCAGCGCCCTCCGCGCCCCTCCGGCCGCTGTTGCAGCCCGCGTCCAGGCCGTGCACCCGGCCCTTCGGGCTCCTCAGCGTGCGCGCGGGGTCTGCTCGGCGGCCCGGCCTCCTGCGACCTCGCGGACCCTGTGCGTGTGGCTGCGGCGGGCTGCACACAGAAGGTGAGCTCGGCCGTGAGGGGTAGATTCCGGGTGGAGTGCGGAACCGGGGCAGGGAAGCGTAGACCACGGGTGGGCCTCCTGGAACTGCTCTGTGAGGTCCAGAACATTTTCCCTGTTACTGGCAACCTCTGGGTTGTAACCTCCGTGCCATCCCATTTCTCTCTCCCCTACATCCTTAAAGCGTTTTGTTTTGGGTTGAGGCATACGATTAAAAACCTAGAAGCTTACCTTATCCTTAGTTTCTTTTTTTTTTTAAGGTTTTATTTATTTATTTTAGAGAGGGAAGGGAGGGAGAGAGAGAAAGACAGAGAAACTTAAGTGTGCGGTTGCTGGGGGTTACGGCCTGCAACCCAGGCATGTACCCTGGCTGGGAATCGAACCTGGGACACTTTGGTTCCCAGCCCGAGCTCAATCCACTGAGCTACTCCAGCTAGGGCTCTTAGTTTCTTGAAAAGGGAACTTTGGGGAGGCCCAAGGTCGCGGTTGACAGTAGAGTGGCTACATTTTTTTGGTAGGTGGAAAAGGGTAATTGGGAATTCTTTTCCTTTGTGTGAAACGTGATAATGACTTAATTGTTGCAAATCCTTTTTCAGAGTCGTACTCAGATTCCCACTGATAAGGAGACAGGCGTGGTGGGTGTGAGTTGGCCTAAGTCCGGGAGGATTTTTTTTAACAATCCAAGTCCAGATTTCTGGCTCAAGGAACCTGGGTCACTTTAGACTGATGGGCTGGCTGTTCTTTTTCTGTACCTTATGAATTTTCATTGTAGGGGACAAAGCTTTTGTTGAATTCCTGAGTGATGAAATTAAGGAGGAAAAGAAGATACAGAAGCATAAGTCCCTCCCTAAGATGTCTGGAGGTTGGGATCTGGAAGTGAATGGGACAGAAGCCAAACTAGTGCGTAATGTTGGTGGAGAAAAGTAAGTACTGGGGGCTTGTGGACTCTGGGGACCTAAACCATTGACCCTGAGAGACCTGTCCTGGGTTCTTTCAAGGCAGGTATTTTGATACCTGGTTTCCAAGATGCAGAAGGAATCTTTGGGTAACTTTGTAAGTTCCAAGTGGTTCATTAACTGCACACAAATTTCCTGTGGGCTAGTTGCTAAGGAGGTGTATTCTGTAATTTCACCTAAACCATTTTTCCTAGGGTGAGTCATAGCCAGTATTGGGCCATTAAAGTGTTCTAGTGAACACTACAGTTCTGCACCCATTGCTCCTGTGAGAAGGTGGCTTCCTGGCAAAGCCCAGTTAGCAAGCCTCCAGAGGGCGCAGTTAGAGTGCCAGTGTATGCAGACAGTGCCTGCTGGAGCAGCGCATAGCTCAGCAGGGCTGGTTCCGAATTTCACATCACTTTTAATTTCAACTCAAGCTTTGGCACGTGATTTGTCAAGTGAGGATTCTTGCACCTTAAAATTGTCATTAGCTGTTGCTTCTGGCATGCCTTGTAATTATAAAACTTCCCACAAGTATTTGGAAAATGAGTCCGTACTGCAGCACATTGTTCTTTGAAGCTTCCCCTTCCTGGGATCAGGGCTACTCTTGGTACTGATGCAACTGTCTAGTGCCCCTTCTTCCTTTCCTCTGAGGGGCAGGTTTTCTGATGGAGAAAAAACTTTTTAAAGGAGGCAGCTATTGCCCTGACCAGTGTGGGTCAGTGGTTGGGTGTTGTTATGCAAAGCAAAAGTCAGGGCACAAGCCTGGGTTGCGGGTTCAGTTCCTTTGTGGGGCACATACTACAGGCAACCCATAGATATTTCTCTCCCTCTTTCTCCCTCCCTCACCCTCTTTCTAAAAATAAGTAAAATCTTTAAAAAGAAAAATAGAGGCATCTACCTATTCCATCCCACTTCCTAGGTGCTCACTGCCACTGGAGGGAGCCCTGGGAAGCAGGCCTGGGGGAAGTAGCCTACACATGACTGTATTTGGCTGAGATGAGGTCTGAGAGTCTGATTTCAAGCAGCTGGCACAGAGGAGGCACGTTTCATACCTGCTGATTCCATCTCAGGGTGGGATGTGAGCACCCAGGCCTTTTTGGGAGGTCTGTAATAATTCAAATGTAAAGCCAGCTAGGATAGACATTGTTCCAACAAACATTTTTAACTGTAACAGGCCTCAATACTTACTTAATGTTCAGTTTAAAAAAAACTATACCAAATCCTTTGTGTTTTCTTCTCTCTAGGGTCACTGTCACTTTCAACATTAACAATAGCATCCCACCAACATATGACGGGGAGGAGGAGCCCTCCCAAGGGCAGAAGGTTGAAGAACAGGAGGTAAGCTATAACACTGTAACCAGCCTTACCTTAGTTGTAACAGGCCAGGGGCTTAGAGGAACATTGTGTTTTTTGTTTGTTTCATTCCCCTAATGCTGGAGGGGGGGAGAGGCTGCAGATAGCCATCCTTGGGACCTTGCTTATAGAGGAGCAGTTTCTGGCCAGCTTTAGCACCAGGAGTGTGTGGCCCGTTTTCTTTCCCAGGGACTGAGTAAATTATCATCTGCAGGCTTGGGCTTTATAGTTTGACCTTTGTTCTCCTAATAGAAAGGAATTGAAATTGTCTTTTACCCTTCTATAACGGGAAGAGTGATATTGAAGATTATCATTTGGAGTCTTCCCAAGTGAGGAATGCCAGAAATAAACACCAGCCACTTAACCAAGGTAGCAAAGCTGGGGACATCAGATATTTAACATCAGAGATTCTGTAAGGTCTTTCCTTATGTGGCTGGCCTCTTGGTGCCCAGACTTCAAACATTTTAGGAAACAGCAGATCTGGCCTAGAAACTGCTGGTATAAGGGCCACAGAGTCCCCAGACTTTCTAACTAAGAAGGTACCAGTATTGTCTTATGACCTAGAACAGAGAGCACAGCTTCCTGGTGACATCAGACTAGTCTTGACATTGAGTGGTTCACTGTCAAGGGGAGGGTTGCTGTGATTATTCAGACATTAGGATGGCTGGCTAGCCAAGTGTACCAGCCTTTGGCCCTGGACCATAGGAAGATCCTGAAACAGACAGTTGGTGAGAGATCTAGGAGCTTTGGGCCACCTTAGCAGTTTATGGATGGGGACACAGTCCAGGAAGATTGAAGCATGAACTAAATTTCAGTTAATTGGCACATAGCTGGGGCTGGAATTCACATGTCTTCATTCTGAACCTAGTATGTTATTGAAAGAACTAGTGTCAACAGAATTGAAACACTACTAAATATATGATGCTTTGTCCTTAAAAATAGTCTTTAACTCTAGAAGGGATCCATAGGAAGAGTTCAAAATGAGCTGGTGTGTGGCTTTAATACCGTTATAGATTCTTGGCTCCTTATTTGAGAACACTGTAGCAAAGACTTTAAAAATGGCCATGTGCTATCCTAATAATGGTGGTTTCCAGACCCTCCTGAATTGTCTAAGACCTTTGGTCCAAGCACCCAACACCTATCAACAAGGGCATGTACTGACTTATTCTTGTTTCCCCAGCCTGAATTGACATCCACTCCCAATTTCGTGGTTGAAGTTGTAAAGAAAGATGGCAAGAAGGCCCTTGTGCTGGACTGTCACTATCCAGAAGACGAGGTACGTAGGATGGAGTGCTAGCACCTTGGCATCGCTGGGGACAAGAGCCTTGGGAGACCTTACTGGTCCCTTTTCTAGCATAGACCAGCAAAGCTGGGGAAGAGGGGGATGGGGAATGAGGGAGCAAGGTTAAAACCTGGTTGGTCTCAAGCTGTAAATAGTCCCTGTTCTTTGCATGAGTCTGGCCTATCTTGGAAAATGCTTCCATTTCCCAAACTCTACTGTCTCTTCTCAGGTTGGACAAGAAGAAGAGGGCGAGAGTGACATTTTCTCCATCAGGGAAGTGAGCTTTCAGTCCACTGGTGAATCTGAATGGAAGGACACAAATTACACACTCAACACAGATTCCCTGGACTGGGTGAGTGCTTGATAAGATGGGGTATTCTTGGGCCTTGAAGGGGGGGAGGTCCTGGTCCAAGGAGAGACAAAAGTATTTTAATTAGTAAATATAACAAATGAAGTCTCTCTCTCTCTCTCTTTTTTTAATGGTAAATGTTTCTCTCTGTAGGCCTTATACGATCACCTAATGGACTTCCTTGCAGACCGGGGGGTGGACAACACTTTTGCGGATGAGTTGGTGGAACTCAGCACAGCCCTGGAGCACCAGGAGTACATTACTTTTCTGGAAGATCTCAAAAGTTTTGTCAAGAGCCAGTAGAGCAGACAAGATGCTGAATACCTTAAATTTATGGCAGGCTTTGCCAGTGAACAAAACCTACTTTGAAGCCAGATGTGTACTTTGAAATGTTTTCATCCTAATATCATGGAAAGTGATTCAAATTTAAATTATTCATTACCTTTTATTTACTACTCATTTCTTCTGTACAAATCTATTATTTCTAGATTTTTGTATAATATAATGATAGACAGTAAAATTGGTTTATCTCTAAGGTGATTTGGCTTTTCTGTTTCTGTTCCTTCCCCTTCAACCTGCATTACAAAACACCAAGAGCCTACATGTTTGGAAAGTTTTAATATAAAATAAGTTATAAATGAAAGGTTTGTATTTACAAGGCTTCTTGTCTCAGATGGAAAGAGCTGTTTCCAACCCAGTAGAACGAAGTGAGTGAAGGCTGGCTTTAGATGATCACAGCCCAAGTATCACAAGCCTGGATTTAAACAGAAAAAGTTAGCTTAAATTGTTTTATCATGGTTAAAAGCTGTAATCAGTAATGACATTTATGTTGCCACTGAAATTCCTGCATACCACAAGATGAAGCTTTGATTGTGAAATAGTACGATGGTGTAGTCAGAAAAGGCTTTGCTTGATTTCAGTCCCGCAGTTTCTAAACAACTGCCTTGGAAACCCTCAGCAACATCATCTTCAGGCTAAGATCGGATCCTGGAGAGGGACGGATCAAATATCCTCACCCTCAGGAACCCAGTGACCAGATTATTCAAATTTGGGAGCTGGCAGCTTTTACAGCCTAGCAAGGGGGTGAGGTTCCTTCAACTTAAAACTGAAACAGGTATGTATCATACAGGGGTAGAAACTGCATATTCACTAAAATCAACTCTGAGGCCCATTAGTTCTAGCATACCTTCCTTGGTCTCCCCTAACAGTAAGTTTCAGATGTAAAACTGGTCCCCACCCTGGTTGGCATAACTCAGTGGATTGAGGGCAGGCTTGCGAACCAAAGGGCTACTGGTTCAATTCCCAGTCTAGGGCACAATGCCTGGGTTGCTGGCCAGCTCCCCAGTAGGGGGCACGTGAGAGGCAACTACACATTGATGTTTCTTTCCCTCTCTCCTTCCCTTTCTCTTAAATAAAATCTTTAAAAAAAATAAAAGCTTTATATTAAAAAAAAAAAAAAACTGGTTCCTGATTTCTTGAACAGCTCAGCCCCACAACTATGCTAAGGAATACTGTGCTTAATTAAATTAACCTTGACACCACATTCACACGTAATACATTTGGCTTTCTAGTGGTCTACCACATCCCATCCCCATGACTGCCCCTAGACCACTGTCCCTCTCACATTTCAAATACTCCAAGTCATGGCTGTACATACCCATCTAACTCATACCCATCTTCCTCATCCTTGACAGCCATGCTTAATCACCCTACAGCTTGACCTCACTGGATCTTGAACCCAGTGGTCTTTGACTTCCCCTTAAAAGAAAGATGCCTAGTGCCATATGAACTCCAGAGCATTCCAAATGATTTATCTACCTTTTGAAATGGCGAACTACGGAATAGGCTACTGAATACAATTTTGTTCCCTGTCCTGTTTCTCTGTTGTGACAGCCTCCTGCCCCACAATAGTCTCCCTGCCGACCCAGGAGCCAGCACTGCCAATCGTGCTGCCCCTACCACTGCCGATGCCTCCCACAGCACTCGCCTCCCAGACCTCCCCTCCACTTGGCTTCACTGCTGCTCTGAACTGCAGTGCACTTGGGGGTCAGGGCAGGAGGCAACTGCAGCCAGACACTAAGCAACCAGGCAATCCTTTGTGTCCTCTTGCTGTCCTACCCATTCCTTCCAGCACTTGGTCTAGTTTTCCCAGTCTCAAGGAGCACCACGCTCCAGCTCAGTTCCACTGCACTCTGCAAAGGGCTCAGTTCATCCCACTGAGGAGGCAGAAACCAAAGCCATCTGACCTGTGTCCCTTCAAATCTCTTCCCTCTATCTCAACTCATTTCTCCAAACATACCTACCCCTGTGCCAAGGACCGGAATAAAAATAAAGGTAGGATTGTTGCCCTCAAGAACAAAGACATAAACAGGTAATAATAGGAACATGGCATCAAGAACGGGGGAAAACCCAAGGAGAGAGTCTGGCCAATTCTATGTGAGGGGTCAGGCTTCACTGATTATCTGGCATACAGAAGTGCTCAACAATGATCCTTGAGCCCAGTGCGGGGAGCCACAGGCATTCCAGACAGAACAGCATGAGCAAGAGCATGGTGGCCCGGACACTTGCACATTAGTGAATCTGCAAGCAGTTCTGGATGGCTAGAGCAGAGAGGAGTGCATAAACCTGTAGCCAGTAGGAAGCAGTGACAGGTTTTCTACAAACTTTCACTCACTGTGTCTCCTTTCATATAATCTGAAGGGAAACCATTCTTCTACCAAGGCCCAAGCCTGGAGCTGGAACTTGCAGGGTCGCTGGAACTCCTGAGACCTGGGCCCCAATACCAGCTCTACTTTTCCTTAGCAGTGCAACTTTGGCCAAATCACCTCACTTACCCAAATCTGTTTTTGTTCCTAACATTGGGAATAGTATCCACCTCTGATAAAATGAGATGATGTGTGTAGAATACTTGCTGAACAGTTAAGTGTTCAATACATGTAATTCCACTGCCCTCCTTCCTCACAAACCCACCCCTTGTGGCAGGTCTGGGCCCTTGATTCCTCAGTTACCTACTCACCCCATAGCTGTCCAATGAATCCTCAACTTACGAATGCACTCAAACGTTCTTCCTTTTAAAAAGCCAGTGAACATGTTTCCTCCTCTCTATGGCTAAACTTCTTGGAAAAACTTCTGCAGTTACTGTTTCTACTTCTTGGCTCCTACTCACTCCCAATTCCTAAAACTGAAGTAAGATAGTGGCTACTTGACCCTGCAACTCCACCAAAACCATCTCTATAAGGTCACCAAATGTCTACTCCAACAGCTATGGTGGGTGTTGTGACCCTCCTTTTGGAAATGTCCATGCTTTCCACATTTCTCCTGTTCTCTGGCCTCTGTTCTTCCGTCTCTGCTAAGGCCCCACTTAGTGGAGATTCCCCTGCACCCATTTTGGGTTCCCCTGCACCCAAAATGCAGGCAATGTCCAAGAATACATCACTGGGCTATTCTACAGGTGCTCCTCAGGCAGTGTCATCTCATCTCTTTGTAGCAATCACACAGAAGTGACCAACTGCTACTGTTATCCCTCACTCTCAGCTCCATTCCTATGTTCTTCACTGCACCAAAACCTGGGTGTCTCACAGAAATCTCCAACTCAACACGTCCACAAACTTCAACGTTGTCTGCACAAACCCTGTGTTCTGCACATGGCCCTGGCACTGCCCAGTCATCCAGCCTTGAAACCTCGCATCTTCTTTGGTTCCTCCACCCTGACGCCCACAGCTACGGAATTTCATCAATTCACTTTCTGAGCCTCTCATATTCATCCCACCTACACCATCCCCACTGTTACTGCTGAAGTTCAAGGTCTCTTCACTTCTCCCACAAAGTACTGGGACAGCCTCTTAAATGTTGTTTCTGACTCGAGACATCCTCACATTCGCAGCTACTGCATTGACTTTTTCGTTGGCTCTTCTTTCCCTCAAGAACCCAATGTTCCAGCTGAATATAACATGATCCTCTTCATATATGCTCCAAATTTTCTGCCTTGTTCTTCTACCTGGAGATCTTCCACTGAAGTTCTTCCCCCAATTTGTCATATCTATATGTTCAAACCCTATTCCACACCTGAAGGCCAAGGTTAAATGCCTTCTCCAGGAAGCTCTCATCCATAAATGAAATCACCTCCTCTGAACTCCTTGGGCCCGCTCCCTACAGCTCTCCAGGAGTACTGACTACCTGTTTTCTATACTCTTCTCTTAATCACCAACCCTAGACTTGAACTCTGGGAAAGAATACGTATTTTTGAATTTTCAAAAGTCCTCTATACTTTTTTTTTTAATGAATTAACAGAATTAAAAAACATATGGAAGAAACTTGATAAAGTGAAGTGTTGGCTGTACTAGGCAATGCTGCTTATAACAAAAACACCTCCTATAGGTAGACTGCATTTGAAACAAGAGGGCTGTGAGGGAATTATAAATACCCAATAGGAAGCCATAGTTTTGGACTTCCTTAAGTGCAGAGTGCTCACAATTCCAACATGACCCTTGCTTGGGACCTCAAAGCTATAGCCACAGGTTATTGGAAGAGAGATTGGTTCCTACAGCAAGCTTAAGGCTTGCAAACTAGGGTGGTTCTATATCCACTTGTGTGGTCCTGCTCCCTTACACATGAGTTGTCACTTAGGGGGCCAGACAACAGGCTTTGGTCTTCTGTGAAGATATCTGCCTAAGAGACAAGCTTGCTGCTGCCTTGCTACGCTTCCTGCTCTGTATCCTTGTGCAAAACTGATACCAGGATGGCCTTGTTGGGTCTTACAAATACGAAATAATTGGCTTCATCTGAGATCACTGCTGCCAATCAAACAAGAGTAGGCAGTACAACCAGGCTGTCTAACTCAAAACCAATACACCTTCCAAAATCCTGTGCTGCCTCTGTCCCTCCCCTTGTAGGGAACGACTGGCTTGTCAGTTGAACTGACTCGTTACCTTCATTTTTCTATTCAGTTAAACTCCCCAGAGAATAAACTGCATTTTTAAACATCGACCAGTCTCCAAGCTATTATTTCTACCAGAGCAGGGGCCTGTGCTTACCACTGGGTCCCCTGGGAGGCTTACCAGACAGCTCATGAGAAGACTGGACTTTTTTTCTGTCCCTTCAGTGACTGAAAACACAGGTGTGTGAGGACACTGTGCACTGTGCTCATTCACGCGGACCTCTAAACAGGCACGAAGTTTCTGCTCTGTCAATTCTGGAGACTAAAAAATAAAGAAGTTACACCACAACTTCATCTTAGTTACCTCATAGTCAACAGGTTGAAAATCATAATAACCAATATATCTATGATGACTTGATTCCTTGGACCTTTACAAACACTCTTGGGCTCATGAATAAACTAAAAAGATCTCTCAACCAATATCCATCTAACTGCCTCACCAGACAAACAGCGCTCTGCAGTCCTGCTGTAAAACACACCACCACTTACAGTACCGGGGACACTCAGAGCTTCCCTCATGTTTCTGTCTCCACCAGTCAAATGTATCCCCACCAAGATATGTTTGGCTGGTGGAAGCAGAAGCATAAGAACCAAACAGATCTGCTCGGACCTAGACCTGCTTGTGCTAATTGAACTTGCTACTGTAATCGAGTAATTTAATTACATGTTATGTAAAGGAAACAAGAGAATGAAAATAAAGTTTTGTTTTTTTGTGATAATAAGTGGGATGTTTAGGAAACACAAAGATGAGTTACTTTAAAAAAAGATTGAATTACATAAAAGGTAGGAAAAATCCTAAAGTTGTACACTCAGCTTCTGGATGCACTTTTCAGAAACAAAACTGGAAACTAGGCAATGCACTGTAAGAGTGGTCTGTGTAAAAACGACTCAGCTCTCCAATCAGCAGAGCCCCACTCAAGGACTGGCAAGTGAAGTTATATGCTCGAAACATACTGTAAGTGTTTCCTTTTTAAAATTCACCCCTTTAACCAACTGACAAACTTTCAGATCCTCTCATGTCAGAAAAGAGGGCTCCTTCTGTATTTTGAGATAACTGAAGCTTAAATTCTGAGCATAGGTGTGTCTTCATACAGGGACAATTTTTATGGGTGTTTAACAAATGGCTCTGGGGAGAGGGCAGGAAGCACCCTGATTGGTAGTGCTTTTCTATGCTGTACATATTCTCACCATGGCTGATTTTAAGCTACTAAGGTGAACTGAACACAAGTTGGGAAAAGATGTACACAGTTGGCTCCAGCACACCCTGAAGGTTCTTAAAGACAGCAGGTATATATGGAGAGAGGTGACACAAAAGCTGTGTGTGAAACACTTACATGAGACAGGATGTACAGGCCACACTGACACATGACCACACCGCTTGATATTTTCAGGTTGTACCTAGAGGCAGAATTGGGATCCCAGAGCTTCATGGCCAGCAGACCAGGATCCCCGAAACTTTCCAGACAAGAAGTGTGGAGGGGAAATTCCACTCACATTGGAGTGGAGGGTGGAAACAACAATGCTGAAAAGGTTTGGAAAACTCTTACTTTGTACACACAGGACAGATGAGGGAGTTTGCTTCCCACTCAGCCAGTATGATGCTGAGACACTTTTCATCAAACTGCAAGCTCTTCTCATATTCACTGATGATGGACTGTTCTGCAAGGCAAAGGACAGTTGGACTACTTCACCATGCTTCACCCGACTGCCTTGTCTTTGTTGCTAAGTTTCGCCTTCAAAGGCTTCATCCACACAAGAGAAACATTCAGGCAAAATCCTACTACCAACCAATAGATATTTACTCTTCCATCAGGCTTCCTCTTGATTCCTCCCCTCCTGTCTGTCCTCAACTTGTGAGCACAAGAAAGTGATGACGCTGCGGGACAAGGAGAAACCTTTCACGCACATCTCCTGAGATCATAAGAGCGGAAATGTAGAGTGTCAGGGTCCCAAGGGCAGCTGGGGAATAATGACAGTTACAGGGTGCTTATTTCTGAGGCCGGCCCACCCTGCTGAGTCTAAAGTGATCTCTTCCCCATGTCCATGTTCTGAGAATCTGTGTTGTTCAGAATCCCTAGTCATTCATTCAGCAAATACAATAATACCTAGTATGTAGCAGGCAAAGAGTAAAATGATGAAAAAGACTGGTCCCTGTTCTCGATGAGCTCACAGTCTAGACTTTAGCTCAGGGATCAGTAAACCATGCCCCACAGGCCATATCCAGCCCACCTTCAGTTTTTTAAATAAAGTCATATATGGGAACATAGCCATGGTCATTCCTTATGTATTGTCTATGACTGTTTCCACACTACAACAGTAGAATAGAATAGTTGCAACAGAGACTTAACCCCAAAGCCTAAAATGTTTACTATCTGGACCTTCACAAGAAGTTTACCAATATCCATTCTAGAGTGTTCCTTATGATGGAGTATGGCTGAACACAGTAAATCCTTATCACTTCAGATTTTTTAAACATACCCCCACAGGAATATTTACTGAGTCTTGTTTCACCACTAAGATAGGTTTTATAGGAGAGGGTGAAGGGTGAATCAATTTAAAATGGATAACTAAAAGGATAAAAAATTCATAGTCTAAATGGCATCAATTATACTAATTATAACAATTAACACTTGCATAGCACTTACAATTTGTCAAATGCTATTTTAAGTCCTCTACATATACAAACTTATTCCCTATTATTACCCCTATTTTAAAGATGAAGAAACTGAGGCATGGGCAGATTAAGTGCTTTTTCTAGTGCCACACCAGTTAAATGGGTAAAGCTAAGAAGTGAATCTCAGCAGTTAGTTCAAAGAGTCCACTGTCCTGCATGCTCATAATAATAGTTATCATTTATTGAAAGCTTTCTATGTGCCAAGCACTTCTCTAAGTCTTCTACGCGCATCACTGAAGCCTACAAACAAACTTACAGAGTAGGTCTATTATCACTACTTTACAGATGATAAAAACTAAGCCTAGTCAAGATAGGGCTATGTGGAATAAATGAATGTATAAAGTGCTAAACTACGCACTCTATGGTGCTATGAATGCCTCAGGGAGTGGCTGCTCACAAGACCCACGGGGGTCCTTCTCAGTAAAGAACGGAGAAGGCACCTGAATTAGGTAGTGCAAGAGAGACCTGACCATGCCCTGTGTCCTGCAGGGTGACAGGATTACTACTAATCTATTAATAGAGAGGTACTGCATTAGAGTAGCAAGATACAGGTAGGAAAGACCACTCTTAGGGGTCACCTTGGTCAGTCAGCTCCTGTTGGATTTCCTCTAGCTCAGCCAAGTCCATTGGCATCTCCCACTGCAAGAGAAAGAGGGGCATCAGAGGTTTGAAGTTATAATCAGCTGACAAGCACCACAATGATTCATCCTTGGAGGCTGGTTTGAAGAACTGAGGTTTCCCTGAGGAAATCTACCAGTCCAGTCCTTCTGTAGATTATGTTGACAATGGGGTAATGTGATCATGTTGAGAAGTCATCAACAAATGATTAAACTACCCAGTGTCAAAATAATGACACTTAATTGCAGGAAGACAGTATAGGGGAGCAGATAAGTATGTGGTTCTAGCTATGAAATCACTAGAAAGTTCCTAACCTCTGTAAACCTCAGTTTGGACTTCTGTAAAATGGGAATAAAACCTAGCTGAGAACGTTGCTCTGAGTGCTAATTGTGATTATATAACACAAACATTTGGCATACTGGAGGACACATGGAAGGTACTGAATAATGAATCATCATTATAAAGAGCCTTGATGTTTTCAAAGCAGTTTCCCACATTTTCTTATACAGCACTCACAACTCTGACATTATTGCCTTCATTCCATAAACGTAAAAACTAAAAATCAAACAGGCAGAGTGGTATTGACAAGCAATAGGAAAAGCAGGATCTGAATTCCAGAGCTCCTGACTTCCAACCCAGTGCTCTTCCTGACACATGGTAAATGGTTTCCTGTCCACACTCAGCTCCCAGCTCTTACTGAGATTAGAATTGAAAAGCTCCTGGAGACCTTTTTAAAAAGAGATTCTTAGATCATGCCTACTAGATCAAAATTTCCAGACATGTAGCCAAGGAGTGAAATTACTTTCTTTTTAGTTTCATAAGTGAATACAATGCAGTGATGCAGCAGGTCAACAGTCTGGTATTTAGGAACCATTAATCCAAAAGAGTCTAACATTAAAGGCAGAAGAACCTGGGTTAAAGGCTGTCAGAATCCTGAGTGTGGGCTTGAGGGTATATGAGTTTAGAGGACTTGGGGAAATAGGCGGACAGAGGACACTAGGTGTCCTTGGTGTTGTAGCACCCTCCTCTCCCTGAAAACACGTATCATCACCTACCTGAGCCAAGGCCTGTGGACAACTTTCCATTGACTGCAAAGCATTCCACTCTTCTTCCATCAACTCTTGCACTAGAAGGGTCCTCTGAGGTCTTCCTAGCATATTGCCTCCAGCCTGGCGGTATTTGTTCAGGAGCCTGTCCCGGCTGTTTCTCATTCTCTCCAGGCATCCCTTGGGAGGAGGAGAAAGATGGGAAAGGGTTCGGGGAATGTAGGGTGGGTGGGGTGGGGAAGGAAATAGCATTAAAAAAAAGTCTTAGCTTAGTTGTTACAACATTAAAGAAAATTTATAGACACAAATTACTAACTATAATCCTAACTATTGTTAATTTTGCATTTTCCCCACCAGTCCTTATTCACATGTAGACAGGTAAAATTACAGTGCTTTGTTCATATATTTCCAGATCACCATATTTCTTTTCTTTTTTATTTTATTTACTCATTTTTAGAAAGAGGGGAAGAGAAGGAGAGAACTATCAATGTGTGGTTGTCTCTCATATGCCCCATACTGGGGACTCAGCCCGCAACCCAGGCATGTGCCTTGACTGAGAATCGAACTGGCAACCCTTTGATTCGGAGCCCATGCTCAATCAATCCACTGAGCTACATCAGCCAGGGCCAGATCACCATATTTCATGTTTTCTCTTCAATGCCAGCTTCCTTGTTGGTTGGATGATAATAGCTCAACAACCACTGTGCTATTATGGGACATTTTGGCTGCTTGCAAATTATTGCTGTTCCAGATATAGCTATGGTAGTCATCTTTCTGTACACCAGTGTTTCTCAACTTGGGGCAATTTTGTCCCCCAAGGGACATCTGGCAACACCTGGAGACATTTTTAGTTGCCATAACTCTAGTTGCAGGACTACTGGAATCTAGCACGTAGAGGCCTGGGATTCTGCTAAACATTGGACAATGCACAGAACAGTCCCCCACACCAAATAATTATTTATCTTCCTCAAAATGTCAATAGCCAAGTTGAGAAACCCTGATGTCAACAGTTATTTCTAGCATCAGATTATATTACTGGGATATATCCACTTATGGGATTCCTGTAGTCACAGGAAATATTACAGGAACTATGATGTGTTCAGACTATGTCAGAACTGAGGTGAGGTGCAACTTTGCAAAGACTTAGTAACTGCGGCTCTTCTGAACAGAGGCTTTCTCTAGAATAGAAATAATTTCTCTCTTGCATGAGATACATATACAGTATACAAAGTGCTTTTCTCAGTGCCCACCTACCCCAAAACAGCAGGTGTTGTTATTATAGAGTGCAAAGGGGTGGCCAGGTTCACACTTCAAATGTAAAACAAATCCAAATCCAAAATCCAAATTCAAAAATAGGGACCTGGGGTTGGGCCGGCCCGGGATAATCCCATACCAAAGGTCCAGAAACTCCAGGAGAAGGCCAATATCCAGATCTACCGGTGGGAGGCCTGAGTCCCAGGTCCACCTCCACCGGCCAGATGCTCCCGGCACCTGCCTCACCCGGCTGGACTGAGGCGAAGGCACTGAGAGCAATTTCTGGGCAGATTAGGGGAATGACGAAGGCCCAGGCAAGGTTTTCCCAAACCTCACACTCACCTGCCTAAATGCCTCTTTCCATGGAGGCGAGCCCACCAATTTGTACAACGAGCGGTGCGGAGAACCTGACAGCTCGGCCATCTCCTCTCTGCGGGAGACCCGGTCAGAAATCCCGGCCCCCTGCAGGCGCGCAGAACCTGGGAGTTGTAGTTCCTGGTTGCTGATCGTACTGCACCCCACGGAATTCTGGGAAGTGTTCTTTCATTGGCCGACCCAACCCAGAAACGAATTGGAGCAACCCAAAGATGGGGGACTGCATTCGTAGTATTTGTGAGGTTAACCCACCCTGGATTGAGGGAGGTAATTCTTGAACGAAGATTTTGAGTGTCGAGGTTTACCTGCGTGGAGTTGTCCAATAAACAAACACGCAGGAGTTAGGTTCTTCCCCACGTTCTAGACTTCCCGCGGAACCAAAACTTAAAGCAGGCACTGGCCTGTTGACTTTCTCGTCCCGCCCCTTTCGGCTTCAGAATAAATACTTGACTGGGGATTGGCTTTCCACTAGCGTTGTCCCTGCCTGCTGGGCGGACTTTACGTTCGCCAGCCTCGTGCTTCCGGGATGCCTGCTCCCTGACTAGCCAAAGCAGTGGGAGGCTGGCCGCAGATTGGCCGCGCTCAGCGGCGGGCTGAGCGATTGGAACGGGGAGAGCAGTTGGGCCAAGATGGCGGCTGTCGCGGGACCTTTAGGTGACGGCGAGCTGTGGCAGACCTGGCTTCCTAACCACGCTGTGTTCGTGAGGCTCAGGGAGGGACTGAAAAGCCAGAGTCTAGCCGAGGCTGGGAATGCGGCTTCTTTATCTTTGCCTTCGCCGCCGCCGCCGTCGCCGCAGTTGCTGACGAGAAACCTGGTCTTCGGCCTCGGCGGAGAACTCTTCCTGTGGGACGGAGAAGGCAGCTCCTTCTTAGTGGTTCGCCTTCGGGGCCTCAGCGGCGCGGGTGAGGAGCCCTCTCTCTCCCAGTTCCAGGTATGGCCAGGCTAATCTAGGAAATGACCGTCAGCTGGGATCTGAATTCGTGGGGTTTTTTTTTTAATTACTGATTTTGAGAGAGAGCGAGAGGGAAACACCGATTTGTTGTTCCGTTTACCCGATGTGTTCACTGGTTGATTCTTGTATGTGCCCTGACCCTCACTCACTTAACCGCAGCCGTGGCCTATGGGGACGCCCTCCGACCAACTGAGCCACCCGCCAGAGCTGAGCTATTGTTTTTTATTTATTTTCCCCCCTCTCCATCCTGGCAGTTTTTCACTTCGAGTAGAAAAAGTCTCTTCATTTCCATTCCGCTCAAACATCGCTACATAGCCTTTTGTTGCCTCTTTATCGACCTGGTCACTGTGCTAGACACAGTTATAGGAATTCATACTCTCAAGGTGCTTAAGTTCCTGGGGTCTGGGAGGAAGGGAAAGACCACGGAATACTCAGTAACATCAGTTACGCAAGCGCTCTGAAGAAAAACAAAGCAGACAGGATAGAGGGTGTGAGTGCAGTTGCTATTTTTAGTGGTTGGTCCTGAGAAACCTCATTCATGATGTGACACTCAGAATAATAGGCATAAGCCTACCTTTCCCTTGGAGTTAGGAGCGATAGGTCAGGTAATAGATTTGGAAGTACCAAGTTTTGTGCCTGACTTAGAGAAGAAATCCCCTGTTAATTCTTGCATTTACCTTTAGAAAGCTAGGCCATTCTCAAGGTTGGAAAGGATTTTTGCTTGTCTTTGGTATGCCAACGGCATGTGAAAGCGGGTGTGATCAGAAAGTATTCCTCACTTGCTGTAATCAGACATTGCTTTCTGGCAATGTTTATATTTGTAATAAACTGATTCTCTCCTTTTAAAGAGTAAAAACTAAAAAACCTGTCACACGTTCTAATGCATGACATCTGTTGTGTGGCATTGCCTGATTCTAGTTGGTGAGAAATGATTTGAAATTAAAGAGGTGCTAGATAAAATTTTACAGTTCTCAAAGTACGTCACAAGTCTACAATCTACTTTAAAATTTCAGTTTACATGAGTAATTTACAAAGGTGCTCAACACACAGCATTCGCACAGTTGTAATTAAATTATTCACACTTGTTTATTTATTTGTCTGCTTTTCTAGACAGTAAATACCAAGACAGGGGCTCTTTCTGCCTTACTTATTTTTTAGGTACCTCCAGGATTTCACTTAGTGCCTGGAACATATAAACTCTCAGTAAATATTGGTGAGATTTGAATGACCCTCAATCCTCCAGAATATCAAAAACTCAGAAATAGGCAAGAAAGTGGCTTAGCATGAGTTGCAACTTTAAAAGTTAACAAAAGCATAAGTAGTGACTTAGAAATAAAACCAAAAAACTTCTAAATACTGATTGTCATAAGCAACTGAAGGTAATTGAATTGTATGCATAGCATAAGAAAGGTGGCCTCTGGTTGATTTGACATAGACTGTCAAAATCAAGTAGAAAGAAGATGGGGGTTGAAAAGGTAGGCAAAAAAGGGAAAGAACCACTGACAGGAGAAAAAACAATTAGTCAGCAAAGGGCAACTAAAAACCCCAAAATCAGGCTTATAGACATCAGTAACAATTAATAGAAACTTCATTATATTTACAATAACTTGTCTAAAAGGATTTGGGCTTAGTGTGATTCTCCATACATAAGGATAAGCAATACATTGGCAATTTCATGGTTTATTGCTGAAAGTAGAAAGATAAGAAAATGGGAACTGGACATAGTCACAAGAGAAGAAATAGGAAGGAGTGAATGTTTTTTGAGAGCATATGATGCTAAGACAAACACTGTTCCATATCTGCATAGGTAAAATGTCATTTTACTTGCTACAGAAGTTCTTGAAGCCATTATCTATCTTGTACTATTTCTAATATAACAGTTATTTATTAATACTTATGAGTTCTTCATTTGTTCAGTAAAACATACATTTAGTCAGCAATATGCCATATACTATGCTAAAGATACTGAGAGGAAAAATATGGATTCATAATTCATTCATTCTGAGTAATTCATAGTTATTTGTATGGGATGAGCAAGTGAAAGGATAATTGGAATGCAGGCAGATAAGAACTATAACAGAGTGTGCTATTGGAGTCCAGGAAAATGCATTTTATCCCTGTCCAGAAGATCAGGGTTATTTTCATGGGAGGAAAGCATATTGAGACTGAATCTTCAAGAATGTATTAGCCTGCTTAAGAAAAAAGGAAAAGGGCATTGTAGATTGCAGGAAGAGGAACAGTTATGCAAAGACACAAAGTCATAACGAAGCATGATAATTATTACCAAGAAGTACAAGTTATATGGAGGGAGTATAAAGTACAAGTAGGGAATCGTGGAAAATTGAGGCTGGAATTTGATCATAAAGAGGGAAATTATGTACAGTATTTATCAAGGTAGGGAGATTTGATGCATTTTTATAACATTCCAATCAAAATAGTTAAAATTATTTCTTCAGTTAATGGCCCAAGTGTTAGTAATTATCCAGAATGCTTCATTTTCTTACAGTTATGGAAAACTAAAGCAGTACTGTGGTTTCAACTAACTGTCACATATATTTACATTAAACTTAACTATTTTGACCAGTTTGCTTTAATTTCAGAGATTGCTTTGCATAAATCCGCCCCTGTTTGAAGTCTATCAAGTCTTGTTAAGCCCAACACAGCATCATGTGGCACTTATAGGAGTAAAAGGACTTACGGTGTTAGAATTACCTAAAAGATGGGGGAAGAATTCTGAATTTGAAGGTGGAAAATCAACAGTAAATTGTAGGTAAGTTATATTTTCATTTAGTGTTTAACTTTATAATTTGTAGTGCATGCAGAAAATTATTCAAGACCAGTAATTTTAAGGTATGTTTATTATGAATATTCCATATGGTCTGCACATTGGCATTTTATGGTAATAATGTTTATGGTATATATGTGATTATATTTTATTCTATCTGAATTATCCCATTACTCTCTCATTAGAAGTCAGGTCATTCTCCAAGGTAGAAATAAGATTTTTAAAAAGCAATTCTTTATCTGTGAGCCAGACAATTTGTTCGTAAGTTCAACAAAGTTTTGTTTTTGTATAATTTTTTTTCCCCAACAAATCCAGAAAAGTGACCATCTGAAAGATCTACTGAAAAGAATATACGGTAGAAACCCACCTTTAGTTCCACAACTTACAAGTTGGATCCCCTTAAAATGTTTTCTAACTCCATTTCCTCATTTCCACAATAGGAATGATAATATCTGCTCTTGTGTTTTTCCTCACAGTGTTTTTCCTTTCCTTTACTAAGAGGATCAAATAAGATACTGTATCTAAAATCATGTGTACAATATAAAATGCTCTACGATTTAGAAAGTGTTTTTATTTTAATTCTGTGATATTGATTGAATCAATGCTTTGAATGCTCTCCTAGCAAGGCTTAAAAGAGAAAGTTGAAGAAAAGCAAAGAGTGTTCAAATAGATTTTCCTTTAGAAGATTTTTTTCATCTAAGTTCTACAAACTGTTTTGTTGGAAAATTGTTGTCTTTATTTTAGTACCACTCCAATTGCTGAGAGATTTTTCACCAGTTCTACCTCTCTGACTCTAAAGCATGCTGCCTGGTATCCGAGTGAAATGCTGGATCCCCACATAGTGCTGTTAACATCAGACAATGTAATAAGGTAAATTTTATTTTTATGTCTTATAGCCTTGTGATTGGGGAGGTTCTATTTGCGTTTGCCAGTTAAGAATTCAAGGTCCACTAATGGGTCCTGGGATGTTAGAATGCTTTATCTAATGGCTATTGTAACCCATTCTCAAGGACAGTCTAACTGCCCTAATTTACACGCCCTAATTACTGCTATTCTCTCTCAACTAGTCTTCCTGCCTCCTCCATTCTCTCCTGTCTAATTCTGACTAGTAAGCACTGTTAAAATAACCTTCCTGAGCTGTTTTCCTAATGTCACTATTTTGGATGTAATGTAGCATTAGGGGGAAGAGAATATGACTGGGAATTGAGAGATTTGAGTTTTTGTCCCAATGCCACTTCTGTCTTTGAGATCTTAAACTTCTTTTTAGGGGAACTTCAGTTTCCAGTTTGTAAAACGAGCAGATTTGATGATTCTAAAGCCTCTTCCAAGTTTTGTACTGGATTAAGTGACCTAATCCTGCAAAGATTTCTGTTATCAGTTAGCTTTCGGGATCTGCCTTATATAAAAAGTTTATGGGGAGGCTCAACTGACTGAGATATAAATACCTCCAGTTCTGTTTTTCCTTTTTTAACTGTACTCTACCAAATCTTCCTTCCCTACTCAATACTTGATCCCTTAATGGCATCTTTTACGGATCTTATAGCTTTCTGGTTACTTTTAGGTATAAAAACAGTCTGTCCAGTTTAAAACTCCAATCTCAGATCTGTTTCAAAACCATA